GGTGTTTGCTGCCTGAGGCACTACACTGAAATAGTCGTGTAATAGAGCTGACAAGAGGCAGGAGAACAAAGACACTGGTAAAGGTTCTCTCTCAGTCTGTTGGCGAAAAGACATGCACTCCGTCTGGACATGCTGAGTACCATTCCAAATCATTCACCCTTCAGACGGCTGTTCTGTCAGTGCTAGCTTTCAAATTCGACTCTGGATTTTATGGATAATTCTGAATTGTGGGGCTTTTTAACCATTTAAATTGTGGGGCTTATTATGCAGTTATTAATCTTAAGACTCACTAAATACGGTCAATTATTCAGTAGCTGCTACAATTTGTTCAGTAAATACTATGGATTATTCAGTAGCTTCCATGAATTTGTCAGTAGCTACTATAAATTATTCAGTAACTACTTTAAATTATTTAGCAGCTACTATGAATTATCCATTTCATTATTTTTCTTTATTCTTATTCAATAAGTACTACAAATTATGCAGTAACTACTGTGAATTATTCAGTAAGTATTCAGTAAATCGAGTGTGATTGTACTAAATTGAATATAGCATATAGATTATATTGTACTGCACTATTTATTGCGATTGTTATACGTCACCTTATATTAAAATCGCATATATGTAACAATACAGTACATTACTGCAGTAGAAGTACACTATTAGTACATCAGTAGATAGCTAAAACAGTAGTAGCTGCTATTTTGAAACCTTACATTTGTCCAATTTTAGAGATAAAAGTATGGAATACAGTGTCAGAAGCCACATAAGCAAGTCTATGTGAGATGACTTGACAAAGTGTGCAACAGTGTTGCCATGCAGTCTGCACGATGCTAAACTGGAGGCTAAAATGCTTTCATGACCCGTTAACTACATTAGCCTTGAAGCTCCGGTGCAAAACTAGAGAAGCAAACATCAGACACCAAACATGTCTTGGCTGATCGACTACATTTTGAGGAAGGGAAAAAATTGTTTACGTTTGGCTCTTGGTCAAACTGTCACTTTAAGATGGCTTTAACCATTAGTGAGTGAATTCACTCTACCACTCAACAGAGCTGTTTGCACTAAGCCATGATGTCCAGGTCAAGGCCACAGTGTAGGGTCAGCAACCCCAGCACGCCCACCACTTTCACAAGGGGTGGACGAGCCCTCAGAGTGACCCCTGCTGTTTAACGCCCCCCTCTCCCTGTTCTCACACGGCAGACACAGCACACAGAATACACAGCTGTGGAAGGCCACTCTGCTACAGCTTAGCAGGCTATCCAAATGTGCACTAATCATCTATGGCCCACAACTGTTAGACCTAATGTATTCAAGTGTTTGGTGCACATAAAACTGCTTTGCATTTGGCAAGACTGAAAGACAGCACATTATAAGCTAAGATACCTAAAACTGTCCAGTCGTGGATGATGATATACTATAAACATGCAATTATGGTTTTGGTATGTAGTATTTGTTGCATGTGCACTGAAAACAGACTCATTAAAGTACTCATTAAATTCATTAAAATGATTTAAGTATAATTTCCATGTGAATTAAAGACACTCTAAATAGTGTTCCTAGGTTAAAGCAAACAGCATAACAAAACTGGTGAGCCAACAACTGGAAAATTGTGGGTTCAAATCCCAGGAGTGACTGGGGTATTCCTGGTTGTGCCCTTGGGCAAGGCTCTGAACTCCCCCCTGCCCCAGGAAGCTGGTGATGCTGTACTGCTCCCAGACTGGCATAGTTAGGCAGCAAAATGGCTAATTTTCCCTTGTAGGATCAGTAAGGTTTGTCTGGTTTCAATATGAATAATGATAATATATAATATGTTTAAATAACCTTATTTCTGTCATCATATTTGTAGTGCAGGATGTTCTCTTTTTTATTTCTCTTAAAGGGAAACTCAGTGGTGGTGATAGGAACCAGACGTCTGAAGAGTTTATTGCCACTGATAGCTCTCTCACAGAAAGTTATTACACAGAATGGATATGAAAACATTGTTTTATGATAACATGCTGGTCTAAAATATTTATTTTTAAGTGCAGTACAGGTACAGAGATAAGGATGTTGTAGGGCAAAATAGTCCACAAAGAAAGCATATTTTTTCAGATGTAGCACTATTTTACCATCATCAACATTATGTATAAAACCTCAGAAGTCACATGTAGTTCATTGGTGGTTTTTGATGGTAAATAAAACAGCTATATTTGCGATATAGACGTCTAGACCCTTGGTTCCTATCACCACCACTGTAAAGAAATAAGCATTATTTTTTTTCTCTAAAATGAACCATTTCACACCATCAAACCATTCTGAATGACTTTACAGATCAACCTTTGAATTATGCACACATTTTGAAAAATTGGAATTCATCTGTAGGTAAGCTGAACACATCCTCCATTAACTATGTGCTGGTAGGTGTAAAATGGTTAGAAATGTACTACACTGAAGGCAGTGGTTGGTCAGGAGGGCTGCACCCTCAGTCTGCGTCTCATGACATGTCATATTTCATAGTTTGGCCTATTGTGCTCATGCGCTCCTAGGAGACCTTTTACCAGTGTTTAATCTCATTAAGTGACTGAGGCTTACTGCATTAGCCTAAAGGTTAAGTGGTTGGGTTTGGATTGCATTAATCTGTCAAATGCTTATATAAATTCCGGAGCTTATGAGTATCCCATTGTAACTGCTGATTAAGGTCAAAGGTCAAACTCTCAATGGAATCCTCTCAGGTTAAACCTGCTGATCTCAGTGGTAACCTATAAAGGCTTTCACATGACCCTGAGGAAACAGACAGAGAGGCCTACTTTCAGCTATACAGTGAAGGTGATGAATTATGGACAAAGTCATAAGGCCTTTCGCATAAGGGTTCAACAGAGATGAGATACTTTACTCTCCATACAGTCCTGAGCTTTAGTGTAATTGAAAAGACAGTTGGTCAGTTGGGGGTTGAGGGTCAGGCATAGTTATGAAACATGCAGCATAGTAACAGCATGTGGAGGTGGATTGTAATACTGAATTTAAAGATGTAAGGGAAGCTGGAATATATTATAACAAGAGTAGGCATCTCTGGTTTTACTGGACCACCACCAGCTGCATGGCATTTGTCACGCATGTGTCTTTGATAGGCTGTAGCACACAGGATACACAGGAAATATTTATATGTGTGGATTGCTATTTTTAGAATTTGTACAGTTACTTTTATTCACCAGTGTAACAAATTGTGATCAGCTCAAATAACAATAGTCAGAGGATTTTGTAACTGCAGCAAACCTGTTTAATAGATGGCCTTGTGTGGCTTATTGGTTTATTTTAATGTATCAAGATCACATAGAATAGAAAAGAAATCAGAACCTTTAGCCAACTGTGTTTTGCACACAGAGGAATTAGACCTCTGCTTTTAACCCATCCATGCAGTGAAACACCCACATACATGCACACTAGTGAACACACACACTAGAGGGCAGTGAGTACACTTGCCCGGAGTGGTGGGCAGCCCTATCCATGGCGCCCGGGGAGCAGTTGGGGGTTGGGTGCCTTGCTTAGGGGCACTGACAGTCACGTACTGTCAGCCAAGTGGATCGAACTGCCACCTTTCTGGTCACAATGCTGGTTCCCTAACCTCCAGCCCACTGGAGTTCCCTAACCTCCAGCTCACTGGAGTTCCCTAACCTCCAGCTCACTGGAGTTCCCTAACCTCCAGCTCACTATTACCACTGAGCAGCAGCACAACACTGTACCCACCTTATTTCTTATGTGATGACTGTATTTTGAGATTATAGCAAAACTATTTAGTTAAACTTGAAAAGTGTTCTTACTTTTTAAGTTACTGTTTTGTCCCATTAAATGTCTCTGAGGCTCAGAGGGGTCTGGGACAACATGCAGGCTTTGTCTATGAATGGGACCCTCTGACTAAAGTATTTCTCTGCAGCACGTTCAGGTTTCTGTTGACAGGTCGATTACAAACAACAGCACACAAGCAATCAGGCATCTCAGCAATAAATATTATTTAGATTTTTATTGATTCACAAATTTAATGTCTTGTCTGTTTACACTTCACTGGAAGTTCTGTCTATAAATCACTCAGAGCATCATGGGGTGTAAGAATACGATGGATATAACAACAACAACAACAATAATAATAACAATTCAAATTTACAACATTTAGTGAGTGTTATCTTACTTCTCAGGTTATCTTACTTAAACAGTATAGTTATACAGGACTTTTATTATGATAGCAGCGCATTGTGTTAGCCTTATGTTGATATAATGCAAAAAAAGTAGTGCATTGAATTGACTTTATTCAAATATGTATTCAGAATGTCACATTGTGTGTGTGTGTGTGTGTGTGTGTGTGGAAATGACATACACATCTAAATCAAGTCAATTCAGTGCGTCACCTTTTTCATAGCTGGTCTAAAGTAGAGCTTGATCACTCACAGATGTCCCACTTCTGGCCGTCATGCAGGGGTCAGTAATTCAAATCTATAACCTCATATAACCTCGAACAGCGGTTTCTTCCACACCGTAATTCATATTAATATAGTGGAAAATGAAGTTTGCGGTGCTCAGAGGTTGAAACATTTGGATGGAGTTCTATTTCTGATCCAGAAAGCAATTTGTGGTCCAGAGTTTGTTAAGAGAGTTCTGCGTGATGTTAATCATGTCAGGAATTCAAGGCGCAGGGAAAAAATTCATTCTCTTAAAGTCACTTAAAGGACAACTGGACTCAAAGGCAGAGGCCCAAATACAGTCATTATCTGACTTTGTGTCCTGAAGGAAACTGGTTTGTTTTGATCTCTTGCCTCACTGATTGATTTGTGTTTTTTACTTCCAGACATAAATGCGGCCATTATTCAAACGTAACTGAGGCTAATTATATTTCTCTCTGGCTGCTCTTTGTTATGTTAATTGGTCATCTGTCTTATTTGCAATATTTTTAGAACAGAAATGCTGTCCTTATTTAAGTGCAGGCCATAACCTGACTGAAACCTTGTTTTTTTGTATGTTTTGCACAGGTTTGTGCTGGTGTTTGGCTGCTTGGTGCTCTCCGTCTTCTCCACCATTCCAGACCACACAGAAATGGCATCCCGCGCCCTCTTCATACTGGTAAGCCTGGATGACAAACAAAATTGCCTCTATCATTTTTAAAATACCGCCAAAATATATGATATCGTTTAGTTTAAATAAAAACCAGATTTTAAAGAGGAAACACTGTGAACACTGGACTGACACAAGAGACCTTAAACTGAAGTGAGGGATAGTTTGTTTCATTTATAACACTGTTATAACTATGTCCTTCTCAAATGATGGAGCTTATACAAAGAAATAAAAGTCTTTCACCCTTATGTCATCACCTTAATATGCCAGGCTTACTACATTTACTTCATAAAACATTCTATGTCATCTTGTGATTAATGGCATAAAGCTGTTCATTAATACTGAACTATTGCTTTATAAATACACAAATCAATATTTATTCATGTGTTTTAAAGTCCTTATGCAGGTGGCCTTCAAATAAAGTGTTACTGATAAAGATTTGTAAAAAAAGGACATAAAAAATGTCATTGTGGTTAATTAGCATCTCACACTAAACAATATGAGACAAAAATCTAAGTTAATTGTAATTAATTAGTTAAGGTAGTCAAAGAAAACAAAAATATTTTTTTTATTTAAACCACATTTAAAAATTATTGGCACCCCTGCGTTTAGTACGTTGTGCAGCCTCCCTTTTCCAGCATAACAGCAGTGAGTCCTCTCCTATAATGCTTCATGAGATTCCAGAGCAGGCAATCTGAGACCATTCCTCCATACAGAATCTCTCCAGATCCTCCAGGGTACCAGGCAGTGGCATGGAGTGGTTTTGCCACAGGAACGGCGGTGCTGTTATTTATCACTTTAATATCTGATATGTCCAAGTCTCATATCAGACTGATATGATTCCACATCACCCGTGCTGATGTTTTTGCCTCTTGACATCCATAATATAGCTGATTAAATTACTGCATGGCTTAAAATTGTGCCGCAATTCCAGCAGGAGGCTGGGCCATTTTAGGTTACAAGATAGATCATTATAAAACAGATAGTTCCGATCCTAAGATCTGTGGCTAAGCCATTGTAAAATACTCAATATAAGCACAACTTTGACCTCCTCACAGCAGCCGAACTCTCTATCACTGCGCCACGTAAACTGCTGTTAATGGCGTAATCTTTGACTCTGATGCTGCTCACATGAACCACTGAGTGTAGTGATATGGGACACTACATGACTGAACATGAACCTGATTGAACAGGACAGACATGATTGAGAATTTTCCCGTTGTGGGACTAATAAAGGATTATCCTATATAGTAAGAAGTTTTGTCTAAACTAGTTTTCTTATTTTCTTAACTAGAATTAGGCCAGTCAGCTAACTAACAGACTAAACAACACCATATCACAGGGTTGAATTAAAGCATTACTTACTAATGCTTCCGAGTTCCGCAAAGTATCAGGTTTACACAATGTCCACCTCACCCCAGATGTAGTTGAGACATGTTTCATATCTGAGATTTGCTTCTTTAGTTTTGCACTAAAGCTATGAGGCTAATTTAGCCAACAAGTAATGGAAATTAGCAGAAATTAGCATTGTGGTAAGTGTACAAATCGTCACACACTTGCTTCAAACCATGTTGAGTTGTTCAGTGATGACTAATGGACTTACTTATGTGGTTTCTGATACTGTTACTATAGAAATAGACACAAGTAGCATAGCTATGGACACAAGTAGCATAGTAGTACAGCATAGCTAAAAACAGCAGGGGCAGCTATTTTAGCCACTATTCTGAGTTTTGCCAGTATTTTTTTTAGTCTATTTGACATTAACTCAACCCAGTTTACAGCAAGTGTGTGATGATTTAAACATGCATGATGCTAAAAAAACATTCCAGCATAGACCAGCATTGCTAATCATCAGCAAAACCAGTATGTTGTGTTTTGGATGCTGGTAAGCTGATCATCCAGCATGACCATATTGGTTGACTAACTAAACCAGCACTAGACCAGCAAAGACCAGTGTAGACCAGCATGGAGTGCTGGTTTGTACCGTTTTTTTCAGCAGGTTAAACTTCCTTTACTTGTTAGCTACATTAGCCTCTTAGCTCCAGTGCAAAACTAAAGAAGCAAACTTCAGACACCAGACATGTCTGGGCTGATTGGCCACACTTAAGTGGAAATTGTGTAAATTTGATTTTTTTTGTTGTTGATCTCTTCGCTTTAAAGCCTTGTCCAGTCAAATCACAGCTGATCAAACCAAGTCTGAGTGGTCTTTGTTTTTTAACGAGACGTGAAACACGTGGTCAGCCATGATAGGATATAGTAACGTCATCTCAGCGATTATTTGATTAAAGAGATGATGAAAGCTGGTAGCTGGTGCTGCTAAAAGCAAAGATCAAAGGGTCTTTCTCTTTGAGGGCTACTCAGTTACTCAGGTTGTTTATTCCTGGCGGTCTGCTGTATAATGTTCTGGCCGCGGTCGTCATACTCACACGCTTGATTTGATTACTGACGCAGTTGATGCACAACATGACTGGCTTGGCACTGGAAAATTAGAGTCATGAACTTGACTGTTATGTGACAGCGCTATCATTGTTTTTGTTGTTAGCACAGCTTAATTGATTCTTGATGAAGACTGTGTTATTGTCTGCTCACGAACTGAAAATTAAACGACACACAACATTAATCTTTGAAAGTATAGTTATTACTTTCTTTTTGCTCTACGATGATATCTATGGTGTTATTACTAGGGGTAGAGGAAAATCCTTGCAGTATAAAATCACAATATTGTGGGCTTAAACAGTATTAATAATGCAGACCCAGATTTAAATATGTTTTTATTTAAATGCCAGTAGTCTTAACATACAGTGCTGTGCAGAGACCACCATTCTTTTATTTTATTTAAGATTCATTTTTCAGGAGATATTTCTGGGGAGATTAGATATTAGATAATCCACTTGCATAATGAAAAGGAAAGTAAAAAGAAAATAATTGAAAAAGGAAGAGTTTCCAACAATGGAGCTCAAAAAATGGTTAAAAGATACAGAGAAAATAGGACCCCTAACAACCATGCAACCGTCGCCAAAACTGGACTGACCACCCCAGAGTCCAGAACTCAACATCACTGAATGTGCTTGAGACTAATTTGATTATGAGAAGCAGAAAATGTAAACCTTTGGAGGTGTGGAAAAATATCCCTGTAGATTTCTTTCAAAAGCTGAAAGCAAGTCTCCTGCTTGTTTCCTGATGCTGATAAATGAATATCATGTAAGGCTGTTATGACTGGAAATAATGTAAATGAGGGGTGTTCTTTGATTCTTGCACTGTACTGCATGTTAAAGAACCCAAATCGTGGAAAACTGACTTTTCTTCCCTTTTTTGAAATGAAAGAATTTGATGTAGTATAAAAACATTGTTAAAGTTTCATAATATACTGTTTGCTCCTTAGTCTATATGGTCAACATTTTGCACCAAGCTGCAAAATGAGAATTTGGAATTCATTGCTTTTGTGATAACATGAACACCAACACATTTGCATATATTCACCTATTCAATCTACAGCAGTTTACCCCCGTCCATTTATACTGAAGTTATAAGACGTGTTTCAGCTTTGACTGCTGTTTGAATGAGTCACAATACAGGCCAGCCAATCAGAACCATGCCAGTTTACATATATATTAGTCTTAAAGACACAGGAACTAATCAGCTTGAAAATGGACATAAAAAAGGACTTATGACCATTTTTCTAAGTCCATTGTTATTCTTGCATGCTGTTCTGTCTTAAGCCATTAAAAGGTGTTGTTTCTGTCAGTAGTGTTATTATAGAAACTGCCAGATAGCGGATTAGAGGATGGGGTTCGATCCCCTGCCCAGGCAGCAATACAGCAACACTATAATACACGAGTAAAGGTCAAGACTCCTAACATTATATTCTCATTGAAAACTGTTTTGGGTAAAAGCATTTGTTAAACATGCAAAGCCTGTTTCATTTTCACAAATATTTCACACTATTTTTACACTATTTTACAAATAAAAGCACCTTCTATATATGTTACTGTAAGGATAAAGGTATTTTGAATGTCTAATTCACAATTTTGTTTTGCTTCAACAAAGATATTGAAGTATAAGCTTTATTAGATTTTTCTTTTCTTTTAGAGGAATAGTTTGCAAATTTTACTATACTGCAATACGCCATATCGCCATACTTAGCATATCACAAACATATCACAAATATCACAGTAGAGCTGAATTGTGGCTCAAGTATTGTGATAACATTGTAATGTGGAACCCGTAGCGATTCCCACCCCTAGTATTTATGTATTGACATTTAATTACATGGTTAGTTATTCATTTCATTTGTATTTTGTTTATATTATGTACAAATGTGTTAGATGTGTCTGCACTGCTTTTTCCAGTTTGTATCAATGTCCAGAAAGGGAAAAAAACATATTTATACAAACAAGACAGTTCACACAACAAACAACACCATACATCATATCAAAAATTCAAGACATCATAAAGTATCTCCCCTTCTACTTACAGACACTAATGCAGTAAGAATGAACATTTTACACTCTGCACTCAACAGAATGTGTGTGCTTGTTTCAATGAGCTACAAATGAGAAATACACCAGATAAAATTATAACATGCCTCTAAGGGGCAACATACCATTTATAACCGTATCAATAAAAACCAACCTGCAGGATCAGGATTATGAGTCAACGAATCCTGTTGTCATAAGTGGATTTTTATTCTTCCAAGTGTCTCTGTAGCTTTAGTAATCATGGCTTACTGTTGGCCCTGAAATCAGATTACTGTACAGTTATGTCTGAAAATATGCCTGACAGACCAGGAGACTTCATATCATAAAAGCATTAGAGATTATTTGCACCAACACATTACATTCATAAACACTTCCGTTTCATGTCATCATGATTTGCATTTAAACTTTTTCATGCAAGAGGTTTTATTGTTTGTTTCTGTGTTATACAACTATCAGTCTCAACTGTTCAATTACTTAAAGTGATAGTTCAGCCAAAAATCAAATCAAATTGCCTTTAAATAGTTTCTGGCACTGTATGACATACTGTTATTGTGAAAAATGCATAAGCGCTTCACACTGGCACCTACTGTTTTTAGCTATGCGAGGTAGTTTTATTCATGTGTGTAGATAACAGTATGTTAGACAGTGTCAGAAACCACATTAGCAAGTGATTTGAGATTACTTAACAACTCAACACAGTTTGAAACAATGACATAATGACTGGGGAGCCTAGCATCCAAGTGAGAAGGCCCATGCCCCCCCAGACCCCCCCTAGTAGCTATGGCATTGCTGCAAATTGCCTCAAACCCAAGTTATCTGATTGCAAAAAGACAAATGTGAAAAATATGTCCTTTGTTGTAAATGTTGCAAAATTTAAGGCGCCTGTTCAGGCTAACACCACAGCAACGTTTACGTGCCTGCATGCCTCTATTAGTAAAATAACATTACCGTTTCACCAGCTCTGCAGTAAGGCATAGAGCAGTGCTTTTTAGTGCCAACATAATGTCGCAGCATTAGCTTGCATGACTGTTTCTTCTGCTGAGCTGGCCTAGTTCCTAGCATAAAAATATGCTAACTGCTATGCTAGGTAGCGAGCATTGTAATTGACTGTGGTAATGACAAGTAACCAATACATCAGTACTGCATTTTTATAGAAAAAACTAGGAGACAATCACGGCCTTCAGCTGTTCACCCTAGATACCTATGCCGTATAGAATTGCCCGGTGGTTAATCAGCCAATACTCACTGTGGTATAATATCAGTTGTTATAGTATCTTGGTAATTAAGTGTGACTTAAAGCTGCACTGTGTGTGATCAAGTTGTTCAAATGAGTGCTTCTTAGCTGCCCCCCAAACCTGTAACCAGACCCCTAATAAAAGGAAATTTTAGCTATGCCACTGGCATGTAGTTTTCACTAGCTAAATAGCTTCAACTACTTGTTAGCTGCAATAGCATTGTAGCTCCAGTGCAAAAGAAGAAAACATCAGACATCAAACATGTCAACATTTGGGGTAAGGGAAAAATTGGGGGAACATTTGTTTTTTGACTGCTTTTAGAGGACAGTGATACAATTTGTTTGTCCAGTTGTATTACAAACTAGATGTTGCACAACTATTCATTTTTACTAGTCGACTAGTCGCTATTACCATATTTTAAGAAGTGTGTTCCACATTTTTGTTATTACTAGCGTGCTAATCGGGGCCGCGGCAGCTGGTGCTGTGGTTTGAGGTGTGAGATGTGCACTGCAGATGAGTTTTTGTTGTATTTCTGTAAGTTTTAGCTTCAGGCACTCCGGCCATAGAAGTATTCAGACTGTGTGATGTAAACTACATGCTAAAATGACCACAGCTCTGTGAATCTCTCCTCTCGCTGAGAAATTAACGTGAATTTGGCCGTGCACTGTGCAATAGGTAACAAAGGGTTGTTTATCAAGCTAAATGCTAGTAGCATCTACTCACCAATGAGCTTTCCAGAGTGAGATATTGGCCTCATTGCTAAACTAGGAAACATTTGTGTTTTCCTGTTTTAAAATGTTATTCCTGGATTGTATTTAAAATTGTAGGTAGCAAGTAAACAAGCCATCCTCATGCATTTGCCAACCAGCTCTCCAAGTTTGTTTTTTTTGTGCTGGTTGCTCTAAATGGTCTGTGTTTTGCATGTTTCCAGTTGACCCTTTCCTATCACAGTTCTCAAAACCTTCCCAATCTGGCTTACAAGTCTGTATTTCAGTCTGATACAGCTTGCAATGGAATTGCTTTCATTCTGTGTAGTATTTCCACACTAATGAAGTGCTATGAGCTTTGTGTTTAGCAGAAAAACTGATTTCTGTTCTCTCCTCCAGCGTGTTCACTGCAGTTTTTACCACGACTCTATTTCAGGCATTATCCTCAAATAGTTGACTGCTGTCCACAGCGCTGACTAGAGGATTTATTACTCTATGCAACCTCCATTACAAGCACACACTTACGTGTTCTCCTAACCCTAATTTGTTTATTTTTTCCTCCATTAGGAGTTTGTGATGATCGTAGTGTTTGGGCTGGAGTATATTGTCCGCATCTGGTCTGCGGGCTGCTGCTGCAGATACAGAGGATGGCAGGGACGACTGCGCTTCGCACGAAAGCCTTTCTGTATCATAGGTGAGTATGAAGCTACACTGGTTGCCATAGTGTTTCATAATCCTAAATTAATACAACACAACACTGCATAAGAGCAAAAAATATTCTGCAATTCTCTTTAAATCTCTGGACATCAAGGCTCTGAAAAGCAGCAGATCTTTTGGTGATGGACCTAGATTAGATCAGACGTCAGCTCTATTCTAAATGACTCCCTATTGAGAAACAGTGCACTATATAGTGTCAGCCATGTTGTTGCATCGTTCAAATGCTTGGTGATGAATGGATGCTGTGTGGTTGTTCTCCAATTAGTTCACTATATAGCAAAAAAAACTATGTAGTGAATAGTGAATGAGTGAGCGCTAGTTAGGAGCACTAGTTTGGACCACAAAATGACCCACAACTTTAGAGGTCTGTACTTAAATATTGATCAGGAAACAGTCCTTTTTTGTGAGATTACATGAACCTGTCACGTGTCAGTTCAACCGAGACACTGAAATGACCCTTGAAGGACATGAGTCCGGCTCCTGTCAGATCAAGCTCATTAAAACAATCCTTTGTTGTATCACAAGTTTGGAAAAGCCCATCTGTCTGAGATCAGATCAGCACTTACTCCCTTCTGATGAGTGAGAAACAAACCCATCACTCACTGTCATTTACAGTTATTTGTGTGTATATACAGTCATAAGCAAAAGTTTGAACACCCCTGGTCAAAATGCATGACAAGAACACACTTCTGCACATTTTAATGCACATTTACTGATTATTTATTAAATTTAAAATATCGGAAGAATTATACATAATATATTTAGTGTGCCATAACAGGCCACATCTATGCTTTTTGACACTGACGTGGTGGTGACGTGTTAGTGTGTGTGTTTCTCTGGTATGAGTGGCTCAGACACAGCAGTGCTTTTGGACTTTTTAAACACTGTTTCCACTCACTGTCCACTCTATTAGACACTCCTACCTTGTTAGTCCACCTTGAAGATGTGAAGTCAGAGACGATAGCTTGTTGCACAGTTTGTGTTGGTCATCCTCTAATCCAGGCTTGTCAAACTGGGGACTCTCCTCGCCAAAGTGTTTACACTGAACCTACAAAAGTCAACTACCTTGGTCAGAGTAATGCCAGTCTTTAACCACATCACATTATGGATTCACCAGTGCATTTTTAATATATTGTAAAGTCAATCACAATTGCAGTATGTAGCAATCCAATTGCACTACCACCTTGTCCATGCTGTGCAGCCGCAGTGTACATGCAGAGCATATAAAGGTGTAGCCATTCCAGTAAATGCAGTAGTTACAAAAGAAAATAACCCTGAGGTGCTTGGAGGTCATTAGAGTTCCTTCTGAAGTTTTTCCACTCAGGCAAAAGTTTGATAGGCGACAGTTATGAACTGTATACTGGACTTACAGACACGCTGACTGAGTCAGATTCAGGCTTGTTGAGGCTGTGTCAACACATTTTATTCATGTGCACCCAAACGAACACATTTAAATCATGTAAATTAACATATTTTCACTGCCTGAGTGAATGTGTTTGAGTCTGGTGGTGGCCATGTTTCACCTCATGCCCTCTCTGAGTTTGGTTCATATTGTCATCACAGTCTAATCCTCAGCCTGGCACTAGGCTAAGCTGCTTACTTCACTCCCCCTTACACTGCACCGAAACTCTGCTCCAATCTGACAACCCGGCACTGTCATCATCTCCAGCTATGCGTTGTGGTGCCTTAAACTCACATCTTGCATTTTTAATTCTTGCTGTTTTGTGTGGCATCCTGTTGTGAAAATAAGCATTTAAAAATACATCACATTTACAATGAATGCAATATATTATAGCTAAAAGTAACTACAGCAAAAAGTCATTTGGACTATTTCTTTTGCATGCATCACATAAAAATATAGCAAAAATATAAAGGATGTTATGATTGCACACACAATCATAACTTTTCATCAAAGTTATGGTCTCTTCTTCTGCTTACAAACACCATTGTAAGTTTAGAAAACACACTTGACATAATTTTTCTGCTTATTTTTTGAGATATGAATGAATAACAAAGAAATAATTCATATAAATCTGTAGCATTGTTGTTACAGTCATGGGGGCACTGAGGGGGCTGCAGCACTCCCAGATTTCAGGACTGCAACTGCTAAAAAAACAATAATAATAGAGAAATCTGGATCTTATAATCATTTGAGTGTAGTAAACATCAATGTGTGCTTGTTTTAGAATGGAGTTTATACTTTTCTATTTTATTTGTATATTTTCAATTTCTGCAGTAGCTGTGTTGTTTAAGTTAACACTGTATTTTCATTACTGCAAGCCAAATCGCTTCCCTTGCCAACTGCTGAGCGCTTTGTGGGCGCACCAGTAAAACACACGCAGGTAGAGGATCAAAGAGGGAGGGGTGTGTGCAGAGTTATAGGACAGTTCTGAGCCCCAAAACAGCCTAGTATTGTTTTAATTTGAAAAATTATCTAACGTAATAATGAAGCTTTTATCAGCCGTTTTATCTCCCGCTCAGTGTGCTTTCAAATGTGTTTGTGGGCATGACACAATTGATAACTGTGCCATATATTAACAATCTGATTGGTTGCTGCTCAGTTCATTTGCATAAAGTTTGTCCAGAGTGAGAGTACAGACACAGGATGTGTGTCAGTAGTTTGATATGTCATATTATATATGTATTTATTGTATCCTTTCGCTGTGTTAAAGCATGTTATGACTCATTCAGGTTGGTATGAAATATAAAAAAAAAATTAATGATAAAATTCAGATAATTTTGCGTGACGTTATTGTTTATACAGCGTATATGCTGCCTAAAAGTTCAGCACCCCCAACTTAAAACACCTAAAATTACAGTGTAATACACGACTACTGTTTATCTGCTGAATTTAACATGTTAGGGGGGAAAAAACTAAAATGTGCAAAAGTTACGGCACATTTTATATTCTATGATTTATTTTTGGGATTTTCTGAAATTTCTGCATAATGAAATGTAAACAGCATCATTCAGGGTGGTTTGATGTGCAGTGATTCATTATAGAAAGACAAGTACTTACAGAATTGTTCACAGTGGTGGTGATAGGACCCAGATGTTTGAGGAGTTTTCTCAAAGACGTCTCTCAAAGTTCCCTTACAGAACGTTTTTACATGAAATGGTTATGGTTATTCTGCCTGATGTCTGAAACATTGTTTTTCAGTAGATTTGAGAGCAGTTCTGGACCCAAAACATATTTTTTTCGAAGTCTCTCTAGGCAGAGGGGCACATGCACAGCAGTGTGAGGCAAAATAGTTCCCAAAGAAAATGATTTCATTTTTTTCAGATTTACTATTAACTATTTTCCATTATTAACTATTTTAACATTTTTAACATTAAATATAAAAACTCAGAATGCATGTGGGTTCACTGATTGTAGTAAATAAAATGGTTATATATGTGTTTTAGACATCATGATCCCTGGTTTCTATCACCACCACCGTAAAAAAGAAATCTGAAAGGACCATTTTTTCTACATTGCACCGTGATTTATTGTTGACTCATTGACTGTTAAAATAATCACATAATAACTTCCACTAATATAATCAATAACTATAACCAAACTGTGAAGGCTTTGGCCTGAAACTATGCAGTCTTAACCTCATTCTCTTTTGGAGTCATTTTCCACAATCTGGCAACCGGGCTAGAGCCTTGGCCTCCTCTGGATTTCATTCCCTTTCCCACCGTGTGTCCAGAGTGGAGCTCATTAGAGCTGAAATGTATTGCTGTGGTGTGTGAGTGTGTGTGTGTGTGTGTGTGTGCATGTGTGTGTGTGTGTGTGTGTGTGTCTGCAGGGATTTTGCTAGCACTTGTCCCTGGTCTCGTTGTTTTGAATGGGAAATGGTCAAAATAATGAATGTCATTAACAAGAGAGAGAGAGAGTGTGTGTGTGTGTGTGTGTGTGTGTGTGTGTGTGTGTGTTTCACGAGTTTGATGGAGCAGACCTTGTTATAACCTGAAAACAAAAGTATCAGTTTACCACACTCTTTTTGCAGAGTGCACTCGAGAGGACGTGACACTAAATCATATGTGACTATAATTGTCTGTGATTGTTAGCAGGGATGCATCTACGTGGGAACTGTTGGCTGATATCAGATACTGTTCAAGTAAAGCGTCCATCGATGCTGATGCTGATACATAATAAAATGTAGATATAATACACACATGAAAAATTTCATTCAAAAACACAGGATGGTATCATAAAGAAATTGTAATAAAAAACCCATTTAATACAATACAAAACACTGTTTTCTCTAATAATGGCAGAAAATAGCACATTAATCATTGTGTAGTTGTGACATTTCTCCTGTGTGAAGCTCATTCCCAACAGCGATTTCACAGGAAAACAAAACGAAATGGCATTTAATGTATAAATATACAGCTATGCGCCTCACACCAAGAAGGGCCGGGGGTTCAGTTCCCCAGGCGGGTGACCAGGGTCTTCTGTGTGGAGTTTGTTCTCCCCGTGTCTGTGTGTTTTTTCCTCTGGGTCCTCCAGTTTCCTCCCACAGTCCGAAGACATGCGGTCAGGCCAACTGGACACACTAAATCGCCCCTAGGTGTGAATGTATATGTATATGTGTCTGCCCTGTGATGGACTGGTGACCTGTCAAGGGTGTTTCCTGGCTCCCGCACAGTGACCACTGGGATAGGCTCCAGCTCCACGACCCAGAAGGATAAGCGGTTCAAACTTTCAAATGACTGTAAATGTATGAGCACCGAAATAGTTCATATGGAGCAATGACTGTAGGTGTTGAAAAGGTTGATAAAAACAAAAATACACTCTCTGAGAAAAAGGTACAAAACCATCAATGGGGCAGTTCCCCTCTTGTCACTGGGGTGGTACCCTCAAGGGTACATCTCAGTACCTATAGTCAGGGGAACATAACTGTCCCATAATCCTTTGAAATGATATATATGATAAGTTGTACTGACTCCACACACCCCATCTCGTCTTCAGGCTTTTTCACTTTATTGTTCTGTTTTAAAACATCAGGTTATGAAAAGGTACAAATATGTAATTATTGTTATGTTATTATTATTATTATTACTTATTTAAGGTACACAATTGATTGTTTATAGATTGTTTAAAATCTCTTAAATTGCACTGTGCTGCCTCCTAATTAAATCTTAAAAATGTGAACATTTTTAAAGACACATGAAAACTCCACAAAGTCAAAATATCACCATATGAAGTCATAATTGGGCCTAATATAAATTTACAACATGCTTTTGTCAGCAATGACTATAACTGCTTCTGAGGGTTAACAGTGACTCAAAATGTGCATGTTACGAGCTCTCGGTTGGTCGTCGCTCATGTGCGTGCGGTTTAAGCCATTTATTCATCAAACCACATACGCACATACAGGAATGTCCACAATGTACTACCTCTGACCATTACTAGACCAACCAGCTCGTAAATAACATATAACTGGAACCGATTTGGCACTAAGTGATGTGAGCGACTGGCTTGTATTGCAGGGTCTTTGTTAGACGGGAATGCATGAGTCCCCACAGGCCCTAAAGTACCTGAGGGGGAACAGGGTCACTGACTTGACTAATGAATGACCAGCAGCACTGTGTTTTCTCTCCCAGAAGTCACTGAGATCACGGCAGAGAAAATAATGGTTATTTATGATTCTGTACTAGTAGGTCTGATAGACCGCTCCAGTGTTTCTCAGTCTATTCTGTCTGCTGCATCTGTGTCCTAACATTGATTAGTACTGACACACGTTTCACGTACATTTCCATGTGTTTATTAAAGAACAGGAAACATGTATCTCAAAACACACTTAGAGTTACATGCAAAGGTTTGAACACCTCTTATCAAATCATGTGTTGTTGCTTTTTTCTAAGTGAAAATAAGTTACACCTCCTCTACAGACATATGCATTCAAATATGACATTTTTCTGCAAGTTTCAGTGCACAATTTCTATTTATCTGCCAAGTTTAATATATTGGAAAAGTTTAAAATACACTGGCCAAATTTTATGTACATTAAATTCAGCAAATAGACAGTATTTGGGCATTACAGTGTGCAGAAGAGTGTTCTCTGTAAAGGCTGTGTTAACTTACACTAGTCTTCACAAGTTTGGAATCACCAGTTTAAATAATGCCAATAATAAACTAATTTTCTTGCAGATACATGTATAGCCTGTTTCTGTTATGATACTATTATTCTGTAGGTGTCAGATTATTTGTATAAAAGCTTACAAATGAAGAACTTTTCAACGTTGATCGAAGCTGCAGATGATTCCAGTAATAGTTGAGAAAGCTATACAACATCAAGAATGAATTTATAATACAATTTCCAGAATTCCTCATTTTCAAAACACGGTGACCAAATCTTATTGATCAAATTGCCATTTATAGTACTTTTATGACAAGTAATTACTAGAAATAGATACTTACTTTTCATATGTAGTAATATTTACTATTTTTTACCTTGTCATAACTTCTCATTGTTCCCAAAATACATTGTGAATAAACCACCGGTTTATGTTTAGATATGTAGTTTGTATCATTTTATCTACACTGTATACGCTTTTTTTGCATAACAATTATTATGACGTGATTGCAGACTTTTGAACGGTGGTGTGTTTTCACTTCTGAGAATCAACAAAACATCATTTGTCCAGGGGCGCCCAGACTTTTGCATACAATTTAAGACCTTATTTTGCATATAAAAGAAGACACTTGGCAGTTGCTGAATTCAGTCAGTGTTTATATGCTGCCATCCTAATTTTGTGGAATACTTTCGTCAATTCTTCAGAGGTATTTTTACATTAAACTGTAAATCTACATATAATGAATTCTTTCAAGAATGAAAGTAGCTTTTTAGAGAGAGAGAGAAGAATGTATGGTAATTAGGGGCTGTGAATGATTAAAATAAGTAATTGTTATGCTAAGCTTTGTCACATTTTATATTGTATGTTTTGTATTTTAAATAGAAATTCTGCACTAAAATTAAGGCCATATTTAGGTGTGTTTTCTGTAGAGAATGTGTTAAATTTTCACTTTAAAAATCAACAAAACATGTTATTTGACTGGGGGTGTCCAAACTTTTCCAGACAGCTGCATATTGATAAGTAGACCTAATAAAATGTCCAGTGAGCATAGATTTTCATTAAATGTGAACCTTTTCTGCCACTGTTTCTCATTATTTTCACTCAGTTGGATTGTCAGGTACAAATAATAGAAGCCCACAGCCCTTCGTTTGAAGGCTTCATGTATTTTTCACCGAGCCCGTGTGTCCACATTCTGCTGTTCTGGCCAGCTAGTTTATGATTTATGAAGATGAGAGCGCTCTGCTAAATCAGCAGGTTCCTGCAGACTCCCCGAAGAGCCAAAAACACACCGCTAACACTTCAGTTTCAGTACTTACGACACAAAACAACAAGGAACATGAGGATAACTTCCGAGGAGACTGAGATGGATGGAATGTGAGGAGTGGGATAAAAGGGAAAAAAAATAAGAGAAATTGAGAGAAAGCTAATATTATTCCTCGGCTTGAGGCTTGGAGATGTTTGTGTTCTTTGAGGGTTTGGTGCAGCTTCTTTAGTGGATGTGGTTTTCGTGTGAACTTTGTTTGGCCTCTCTCTCTCTGTCTCTCTCTCTCTCTGTCTCTCTCTCTCTCTCTCTCTCTCTCTCAGAGGGTACATGTAAATTGTTGTCCCTCTGATTATCTCCACTTTGCAGCCATAGTACATTCTCAGTCTCCTCTAACTTTAATGCTGTCATTGAGGGATCCATCAGCTCTGTCTTTTCTTTGAAAAGTTTGAGTGGTACGGTCTTGTTTCGCAGAAAGAAAAAGCACTTTTTATGCTTTAGACTATTTTTGACTGTCATTTTGAGATCTCATTATCTTTTGACTGAGCTAAATGCTTGGACATGTACTGAGAGATCTCCATACTGAAGCTTTTTGCTCTCAAATTTTTAATATGAACCTTTTTTGTGGGTATTTTTTTATTTTTACCCAATTTTTACTCCTAATTTAGTCATGTTCATTTCTATTTCCAGCCTAGATCTCCCCCTATCATGCATGCTAATAAACTAGAAGGTTGAAGTATCAACTGGTCTATTTGTTGTCTGATAAAACAACATCATTGTACATCTCAACACGCTTGGAGGAGCTAGCAACGTTGGTTACCATTTCACAGAGTCGTGGAGGAAAGGAAGGACCATCCTACCCACCAAGAGAGTACCAGGCCAACTAGGTTCTCTTGGACCCCTAGACATGGATGGCTGTGGCATCCCTTGCGATCTTCTAATTACAGGGGCAACACTTAGACTTGTAGCCAGCGATCAAGTTTTGTAGTCAGTGGTTGAAAACTTTTAAGGGGGATTGCAGGGGGTTCATCTGACAACTAGAGTCAGTCCCATCCCCATGTCAGTTTTTCGGCAATCCAATGCTCTTATCCTGTCATCTTAATTAACATTGCTCATCATACCTGCTTTTCTTTAAACGTAGTCCAGAGATCTTGCTGTATGTTTAGCATTACCTACAGCAGGGTTTGCCAAAAATCTCCAACCCGTCGTTTGCTCAAAAGCCGTCCACCAGAAGCTGAAATGTAAAAACTTTCTTCAACAGTGTTTTCAAACAAGCCCGATTTAGTGGGAAAGCCATGAACCTGGCCACTCTTGACAGCGGGTGCGTGCCCTGTACCAAACACTCCACAGCATAACCAATGAAAAGCAGAGAAATTCTGTCAAAAGTGCAGATTCTAAACTTTTAGTCTGTACAAACTTTACATTGTTGTCAATTTTGTCGTTGTTTAGACATTAAAAAAGTCGATACACAGTGTGACTTGAATAGGATTCATTATATAACGCACTGTGTAAGTAAATATGTGGTTCTACCATGACATTTAAATAGTACAGCAATGCCACAGTAATAACTCTAAACTCTAGAAACTGCGTTACTGTGATTCAGCTGTTACTATAAAGACTTTTTATTCAGTAACTACTATGTAATTAATGTTATCTAGTTACACTGTGTGTCCAAAAGTATCCAGACCCTTCTAATTACAACATTAGAAACATTAGATGAGCAGGTGTCTACAAACTTTTAGACATACAGATCCTAATCCATAACAGATTCTAATTAATGATTTTAGCTAATTTAAGGTCACCCGTCACTCATACAAGTGCTCATATGCACACACAGAGCCTGCATGTATGTATTTGAGACGGCCTTAATCTAATCTTTTCTTTTTCCATTCCTCTCTATCTTTCCACTATCCATTTCTCCATCAGATATCATAGTGCTGATAGCCTCGGTCGCCGTGGTTTCGGCTGGTAGCCAGGGCAACATCTTTGCTGCCTCAGCACTACGAAGCCTCCGCTTCCTGCAGATCTTGCGCATGGTGCGCATGGACCGCCGCGGAGGCACCTGGAAGCTGCTAGGATCCGTAGTTTATGCACACAGCAAGGTAATCTGGGATAAGTCATTTTTGACTATAGCAAACTATACTGAGGTGTGTTTGGTGCTTTGAGATGGTCATTGTAAACATGACCAAATCATAACTACCAGTAATGATACAGAAATTAAAAAGATGATAAATGTGCCGTTGATTCATTGTTTCATTGTTTACTGCTTAATCTACTGTGTTTATAGCCCGCCTGTCACAATCATAAAAAAATTAGCTGACAATTAGTTGTGATATGACTAATTAATGATATAAGCAATTAACAATTATTTAACGAGAGGCAGGTCATTCCTAGCCCTACTTTTTCTCAGTTACTAACAGAAACCCACACTAACTAGCCCCCAGACCTGGCACAGATTAACAAATAAAGTCAAATAAACTTGATTTTGAACCACAACAAAGCATAACATAAAACATGAAGCAACAACATATATATAGTCCTTTTTCACTGGGGCTGCGCATGTCCCATGAGCCTCTTTGAATGTCATTTTACATAGCAAAGCTATAGTGGCAGCACAGCTTCCCGCTGGTGCAGAGAGACGTATTAAAAAATCAGAAAACATTTAAGAGGCAGGAAAAAGTCTTGCCCCTCCCACTTAGCCCTTACCCCTCCATTTTGCACGTTCATGTCTAGGGGTAGGGTGTCCCAGTTTTAGTTGAGATAGAGGGGTAGGGCGAAGTGTTAGGGCTACATGGTCCTCCAAACGGAGGTTTTTCAGAGACGCACTCTAAACAGAGTGTTATGAGAAAAAAAGAAAAACCGGCAAGATGGCTGCGTGAGCGACCAAAGAAACCCACAAATGTGAGAATTTTCTCTGTTAAAAATTACGATAACTATCGTATTATCTTAGTTTAATGTCGTTTCAATGTATTATGGTCCTTTTCTTAATAACATGCATAAAAAATCGCTAATAGTATGCGAATGTCTCAGTAGCTGGCTAATTTCCCGTGCCACCTTAATGGGCTGGTGAATAGCTGACTTCAGCTTCATATCACTGAAGTATTAGGGGTGGGCAATAATAAATAATGATAACACCCCCCTCTGAAGGCATATAGCTCCCTAAATGTAACTAAAGCCCAGCAGTGAGGTTGCTGAACTTTACCTTCCTCTGCTATCACTGCAGACTGGCAGGGTCACCTAAAGAGCACCACTAGTAGCCTGTTAATGAAACGTTGTTTTTTATCTTTATCTGAACTACTAATCCTTGTAACTCAGTTTCAAGCAACAAGGTGACACTTGAAAACAAGGGGTAGGGGTAAAAATGAAAAATGGGATTGGGCCTTAGATTAAAGATTGCAGGAAAACAAGGATTTAGTCTTTTAAATGATAAGGTATGGTAAGTCATGCTTAATATAATCAGAGACATGAACTAACAAGGTAAAAACGTTGATTTTGAATTCCGCTTGACTTTAATCCGTGCTGTTGTGTTGTATAGGAGCTGGTGACTGCCTGGTACATTGGCTTTCTGGTGCTGATCTTTTCCTCCTTCCTGGTCTACCTTGTGGAGAAGGAGTTCAATAAAGAGTTTTCCACCTACGCTGATGCACTCTGGTGGGGCACGGTGAGCTTCCATCACTCCCTCCACCCCCAGTGCCTATAAAGTGGTATAGACAAACTAGCAGTACATGTATAGTTCTGTGCAATGACACGCACACACACACACATCATTTAAACCGCTCATCCTTCTCGGGTCGCGGTGGGGTGCTGGAGCTTATCCCAGCTGTCATTGGATGGAAGGCAGGATACACCCTGGACAGGTCACCAGTGTGCAATGACAAGCTGAACAAAATTGTCAATGTCATTGGAAAACCTCATACAATCAAATGCAAATGTCTAGGGCCTGTGGTCAAATTACAAGTTTTGTTGATTTTCTATGGGAAAATAAAGTAACACATTCTCTACAGAGAACATACTTTAATATGGGGTTTGTCTGCTAATTTTAGTATTTTGGAGTAAAAATAAAACATAAAATATAAAATGTGCCATATTGTTTTCACAGGCCACATTTTATGTTGTATTCTGATATGTAAAATTCAGCAAGTAAACTAATTGTGCATTAAAATGTGCAGAAAATGTCCTATTTAAGTGTGTTCTCTGTAGAGGATGTGTTGACTCATTTTCACTTAGAAAATCAACAAAACCATGTCGTTTGATCAAGGGCGCCCAAACTTTTGCATACTCCAATTTTTGTTTTTAGTTTTTTTACACCATTTACAAATGGCAATGACAATGAATGGTCCAACACAGTTTTTTAAAAGCATAAGTTACAATGTCAGCAGATGTTAAGAACATTTCTTTTCAATATTTTCAGTGGTCAATCAGTGTGGTCAGGCCTAAATGTAAATAATGTTAATCATGATTATCTACCCTTGTTTATATGTCCTTTCTTGTCACGTAGATCACTCTGACCACCATAGGCTATGGGGATAAGACTCCTAAGACGTGGACTGGACGCATGCTGTCTGCTGGCTTCGCCCTCCTCGGCATCTCCTTCTTCGCTCTGCCTGCAGTGAGTCCTAAAACCCATATCCGTCTCGGATCAGGCGTAGCTCAGTACCCAAACGAATGCACCAAAGAAGGAGTAGAAACTTTATGTGCATTGAAAAAAAAATTGCTGCCAGCAGTTCATTTCCATCAGATTGAATTATGTTGCACTAGGATGGTCCTCCTAAACTCATAAACCCGATACTTTCTGAGTTTATAGCAAAGACTCCACTCAAACAGCTGACAAAGTAAATAGAAGTGGTAAACTTGGATCAGTTCCATGGTTCTGAGTGTACGAGGTGAAATATTACCAGGCATTCTCTGAAATCCTGTCACATAACACTAAATTTATGCATAATTGCTGGAAATAGTTTCAGTGTAGGATTTCCACAACATAGAAGAACTGCTATCCAGTAAAGTTGAACAGAGAAAACTTTTTATCAGTATTAGCAATATATAAAGTGCTGTTTTTAGTGCCCACCTGGAAGCCTTTAGCTCCATAGTGACCCTCAGCTTATCTCTACTCTGCTCGTCTTTGTAGGGTATCCTGGGTTCAGGCTTTGCTCTGAAGGTTCAGGAGCAGCACAGGCAGAAGCACTTTGAGAAGAGAAGGAACCCTGCAGCCTGCCTTATACAGGTAACACTTCCCAACCTACACAGTGCCATGACTGGACTTATATCAGATGTCATATCGTTATTAAATTCCTGCCTTGACGAATTCGACCATGATTCACTTTGAGTTGGTCATTTTGGTACAATTTAGAATTGTTCTCAAAAATACTCTGAATTACACAAATGTAACTATAGATGCTAATTAGTGTCCACAAATGCTAGTAATAGATGCTAGTAATAAACCTCGATACAGACAATGTACCAAAAAAATGAAAATAGCTTTGAGTAAGTGCTTAATTTAATCCATTACAGTTACAGCATTGATGCATATTTAGATTAAATATGAATACAGGTTGTAGTCACCTGCTCATCCAACATTTCTTCTGAAATCAAGGGTATTGATAGGGAGTTTGTCCCTTTTGCTGCAATTACAGCCTCTACTCCTCTTAGGCTTTACACTAGATGTTAGAGCATTGCTGTGAGAATTTGATTGCATTCAGCCACAAGAGCATTCGTGTGGTCAGGTACTGATGTTGGATGATTAGTTCTGGATCTTAGTTCTGATATCACAAAAACCCTGATTTCAAAAAGGGCTGTTTTTGCAGCTTATTTTCCATATGAGGAGTGAACAGTGCATTCTGAAACTTTAACTACATCAAGCTCTTGCATTTCAAAAAACCTGGAGAAAATTGGGTTTTCCATGAAATGGGCCTTTAATGAAAACACTGATTCCAAATTTGTGAGTATAAATATAATGTGTATGTTGTGCCATGCTTGCTATATTATATCTGCTGCCTTTGATTTGATTCTCTAATGGAAATAAGCCTCTCCGCTCCTAATGGTCCCGTATCAGGCAGCGTGGCGTTATTACTCGACTGACAGTAGCCGCTCTGACCTGGAGGCCACCTGGCGGCTCTATGAAAGAGCCCTACCTGTGCCAAGGCATGTATAGAAGCCTGTAAGGACCTGAGGACCTTTAACCATGTTCTTCACTAATCTGCATTTGTTTTGTTTCTTTTTTTTGTTGTTGTTGTTGTTATTTTTATTTATTTTTTCCCTCCTTATTTTCTCACTATGGCCTCGTCCTCCTTTTTCTTTCATTCCTTCTTTTGTTTTTTCCCCCTTTTCATCCCTCGTTCCTCCTCTCCGTCCCGTGTGTGTGTTTTTTTTTTTGTTTTTTTTGGCATGCAGTGTGTTTGGCGTAGCTATGCGGCTGATGAAAACTCGGTTTCCATTGCTACCTGGAAGCCTCATTTGAAGGCGTTGCATACCTGCAGTCCTACAAAGTAGGTATAAACCCTCTGGCAGCGGCTCTACTACTTGCTCTCTGTGCTGTTCATCTTTTCACACCCGCTCATTTTAACCCTTTTAAGAGCTTAAAGCACTCTAGAGCTCTCTAATCTACTGTATCCGTAGCGTATGATCAATTAGCACAAAGTATAATTTCAACATGTTTCCCTGTATTTAGAAAAGAACAGAAAACCTATTAACCATTTAAGGCAGATGCAAAAGTGTGTGTTTCTGTTGTTTAATCTGCACTTTTCTGTTAATAACATGATTTCTCATGGCTTCTGTGGCCTTTTTTGACATGTAAGGAACATGATCTGACAACATTATCTACGTTTTTACATTTTCGAATAAGCCAACACATGAATAGGAATATAAGTTACACATTAATTACATTTGTTTTGTTACTCTGATAACGCCAGTCAGTAATAAGCTCTTACCGATCTGAGCTGCACTCTGAATGAGCTTACAACTGCCCAAAAAATCCCAGCACATACAACAGAAAAGTAAGCCTCTTGCATCTTTTATACAGTGATAGGAAACATGGTAGCTTACAGAAAGCTGTGTTTCTACATGCTGCTACCTTTCACTTTGGCCAGATGTGAACGTGCATGCATCGCAACTGTTCTGGCCGCAGATTTCAACAAGTTTAAAGAGGAAAACTTCTACATTGAGATGTAAACAGTCATTCAGAGTGGCTGGATGTGAAATGGTTAATTGTAGGCAAACTCAGACTCTGATTTCTATACAGTGGTGGTGATAGGAACCAGGCGTCACAATGTCCACAAAGTTGATTTATATATTATCCAAAACCACCATTTACGGCATTTGGCAGACACTCTTATCCAGAGCGACTTACAGTTTGATCATTTTTACACAGGTAGGCGAAGGTAGTGTTAGGAGTCTTGCCCAAGGACTCTTATTGGTATAGTGCAGGGTGTTTGCCCAGGTGGGGGATTGAACCCCAGTCTACAGTGTAGAAGGCAGAGGTGTTACCCACTACACTATACCAACCACCAGTGAACCTACACATATGTTCTTGTTTTTTAATGTAGTGTAGATAGTGATAAAGTAGTGATAACTTTAAAACAAATACGTTTTCTTTTGGGACTGTGTTGCCTTACGCTCACGCTTAAAATAGACTGTCAGATACCCTAGCAGGGCTTTCTCTTCTTTTCTAGCTACAGGGAACCTCTTGCCAATATCTTAAGTGGCTATTTCTGGCATTTAATCTACACTTCACCCTGAGTAACATAATTTCTCAGTGCGATTGTCACTATTACTTTGCTATCTAGTACATAACCTCTGAAATCTGAAAAGTAGTATTTTTTTATTTAGTCTGTCACACATTAAAGGGATTAAAGGGTTAATCTGTAGATGGGAACCCTTTCTTTTGCATTTGTAGTCTTTTGTTCACTTTTTGATCTCTCTATTTCTTCTTCTGTCAGTCTCTATCATACACATAGACTTGCACATGCTGCTCTTTATTCTGGACATTACCTTTGATATCTTGTTTTCCGTAATAAGAAAAGAAGAAAACAGTCTTCTTTTTTACTTGCCTGATGGTAAGCTCAAAGCCATCCCAAGGCCCAGTATTGTCCAGGCTCCAGCTTCAGATAATAGCCCGTCCATCAGCTGCCCTTGAGAATGCCCTTGCTACATAGAGAGAAATCTCTGAAATGGTTACTTTATAGGAGAGGAAAGAAAAATGTCTTACCATCTGCTAATGTAAGAAATTACACTTGAAAGGTCTGCTCTCACACGGCGTAGAGGGAAAGTAAGAAGGAAAAAGAAAGAAAAAACACTGCTGTATTGGGGAGCTAGTTACGTAATTCATGCTCCAGCATAGTGGTTGTTTATGCTTCAAGGTTATGCTATGTTGTCCTGTTGATAAGATTTTTAGCAATAGTTTTTAGTAAATGTATTTTGGCTTTGGCTTCGTTTGCCTACAAAATGGCCTCTCAATTCCTCCACCCACCCCCACCAAAACTTTACATTATAAGATTCTATCCCAAAATATCTCAATGCTGGTAACAGTCAATGTGTGTGTTTACATGCGCTTAATAATCCGGTAACTGCAGAAAATCAGATTTTGTCAGTAATCCGTTCAACGTGTTTACGTGCACTTGGGTAATCAGATAATGGGTAACTCCGGGTCTACATGAGTCAGACAGTAATCAGATTTCTGCTTTGCAACCAGCCAAAAAACTCACAGAAGAAGACGTGACGTAAACGTAACGTAAAACTCAAACTGCATGCTGTGGCTTTTTTGTTAAACATCGCGCCTGATTTACCTGAAAATATGAACATCCATCATCTAGAAGATGAAAAAAAATTGAAATGCTTCATTTTGTCAGGCATGTGTTCGGTTTCAGCGTCACTCCAAAAGTGTTTTGCTGCTGTCTTGCAGCAACGCTGCTTGCTTATTTCCAGTACCGCCGTCTGTTGCACATGCGCAGACTGAGAAATCCGAAAGAAATCAGAGTAAGAGTGCACTGAGAAATCTGAGTACTGATCTAAAATTCAGCTCTCTTTATCAGATTTCTTAATCAGATTTCTAGACCTTACTCCCATCTAAGAAATCAGAGTATGATGTTTACATGAAGGTTTGAATAATCAGATAACTGCAGAAATCCGTTCATGATCGGATTACTGAGAGCATGTAAACGCGCTCAGTGTAAGCTAGCATGAGGTGGTTTATGAAACTAAGTTTATGCTAACAGATTCGTACCAGCTTTCACTAAGGTTGTCTCTGAGGTTCTCTTGACGTAAATAATTTAAAGGAATTCTTACTCAAATGTAGCTAAACATGAATAAAACCTAGTAGGGAGTGAATTATGAAAACTGCTAACTGATGGCCGCTACCTTTCACTCATTCTTAATGTTTAGCATTTTTGAACAGACAAGGTTTTTTAAAAGGATGCTGGTTGTGAGTGAATTACTTACTGGTTCATGCTAACAGATCACAAGTGGTCATTCATAGTAGCCAAGTTAGCGTCCCTGCTGAAAGAAACAGCACAGACTGGAATGTATTCCATTCAGTCATATGATGTTAACTCAGTCAGCTGTTGCGACTGTTAGCAGATTTGTTCTAGCTTTTATTTATTGTCAGCCATGCTAGTGAGGTTTTATCAACAACAACAATTTTAAGGAATTCTTACCACCCAAAAACCCTAATTTTGCTAAAAATGAATGAAAACTAATAGGACGTGAATTAATATTATGTAAACTTTCTGCTAGCATTTCATTTATTCTTAACTGTGCTAACATTTTTGAATGGATGAGGTTGTCTTATGAAAAAGACTATTTAAAGGACTTCTCACACAAAACAATTCTAATGTTGGTTACAATGAATGTGAGCTAGTAAGAAGTGAATTAATATTGTGCATGTGAGTTCATGCTAACATCCCTACAAGCTTTCATTCGTTGTTAGCCATGGTAGCATTTTGGATGAACAAGGTTTATCATGGCAGGAAAGAGTAAATGTAAGCTAGTAAGATGTGAATTAATATGAAGTTATTCATGCTAGATGCCTACTAGCCTTCATTTAGCCATGTAAGCATTTTTCAGTGTATTTTTATTGTTAACAGTGAGTGGGAGCTAGCAAACTGTCATCTATTAATGCTAACAGATCCCTATTGGGGATAATAGCCATGTTAGCATTTTTGGATGAGTAAGGTTTCTCAGTGATGATTTAAAGAGCTTTCCACCCAAAATCCCAATGTTGCTAACAATGAATAAAAGCTAATATGTTTAAATTGATATAATTCATGCTAACTAGCCTTTCACTATCAGCCATATTAGCATTTTTTTGTATGGATGAGGGTTTTTTTTTGTTAACAGTGAATGTAAGCTAGTAGGATCATCTGTGCTTTATCTCTAGTTCTAGTTTTAGATCTATTTAGAAGGAGTGATTCCTCCTTTAACTTAATATTGCTGCCATTTTAGGACAAACCTGAGCCTGGAAATACTGAGGCAACTGCACCACAAACAAATACAGAAATACAGACCCACACTCACATTTTTGTTACCTCAGAAAATCTGTGTCTGTATATTTCACATTCTTAGGCCTGTGCTTTGTGTCTCTGCCTGCAGTATGTTATGTATCGTATAGGCTAGTATGCATGTGTTTGCTAATGAATGGTTGCCTTTCCATAAAAGCTTGCTGACCTTCTCGAGAGCTTCTTTATTACAAAACCATGTTGTACAATGTCATTTTCATGCATAATATATGTAGCATCTGATGTTTCTCCTGTTTTTTTTCCTCCTCCTATTAAAGGAAGGACCAAGCTGAGACGTCCACAAGGTTGGTATCACCACTGTGTTGCTGACTAAGTATAAAATGCACCAAAATCATAAGGGTCTCTATAGCTTAAGGCCTTCAAAATGTGTGGTGCTTATGCTGTGGTAAAATGCAATGCACAAAGTTACCACTTGGTGGCTATAGGTTCTTATAGAAAATGTATTCCTTGTATATTTCTTACTCCATTAGTACATAGTTCATGCTGAGTTCATGCTAACAGATCCTTACTAGCTTTCATTCATAAATAGCCATGTTAGCATTGTTGGATGAGTGAAGTTTTTCAGTGATGATTTAAAGAGCTTTAATCCTAATATTGCTTAGACGGAATATAATCTGGAGAGTGAATTAATATTATGCATCTGAGCTCGTGCTAACAGTTCCTTACTAACCTTCATTTATTGTTAGCCCTGTTAGCAATTTTTGGATAGATGACTTTTTTTGTTAACACTGAATTTATGCCAGTTGTATAGCAGAATAAATGATCCACCAAAATCATAAAGGTCTTCTGTAGCTTAAGATCTTCTAAATTTGTGGTGCTTATGCTGTGGTAAAATGCAATGCACAAAGTGACCACTAGGTGGGTATAGGTTCTTATAGAAAATGTATTCCTTGTATATTTCTTACACCATACGTAGTACATAGTACGTAGTTATCATGCCCCCAGAAAAGTTGTTATATGAATATACGTCCGACTTGAATTGATGCTATGCATGTAAGTTCATGCTAACTGATCCCAACTAGCCATAATCCATGGCACCGTTTTGGATGAACAAGGTTTATCAAGTGATGATTTAAATGGCTTTTCAAACAATACTGCTGATAATATTGCTAACAATGAATGAAAGATAGACAGTAGAGTGTAAATTAACATCGTGTTCATCATATTCATGCTAACAGATCCCCACTAGCTTTCATTCATTAATAGCCATGTCAGCATTTTTGCATGAGTTAAGTTTTTCAGTGATGATTTAAAAAAGTTTCCACCCAAAAATCCTTATATTGCTTAGACTGAATGTAAGCTAGAGAGTGAACCTATGCTAACCTTCATTAGCCATGTTAGTAATTTTTGGCTAGATGACTTTCTTATCATTAACAGTGAATGCAGACTAGTAGGATAGTAGAATAAATGAATAATATTCAGCAAAATCATAAAGGTCTTCTAAACCCCAAGTTATTCAGTAATGTCTGGTTCTTATTTTTTGGTAAAATGTGATGTACAGGGTCACCACTAGGTGTCTAGGTAGGTTCTTACAGAATATATATTCTATCTTACTTATTTCTTACATTATTAGCAACTCATATTGTGTTTTCTAGTCGCAGATGTGTGGTGAGATTAGACTGGGTGCACCTGAGTGAGTGATGGAATAATAATTGCAGGATTTTAGTGTGCCGCGTTTTGTGTCTTTGTCTCGATTTTGCTGAAATACAGTCCCGTGGAGGCATTGCTTTTAGTAAGAAAGAGAAAATAAGGGAAGCCAAACCTGACAGTGACACTGGAGCGCTGTTACACAACAGTTATTATGCTAATAGATGCTGCTAGCAAACATCAGAAATTCACTTCCCAGAGGCAGCTGCATGATTTCCCTTCATCATAGGCATATGGTTCTTAATAGAATGTGAGAGAAAGTAATAGTTTTTGGGCAATTGGAAAATCATAGTAGCTGAGCCAAACAAACAAAGTAATTTCGGAAATTATCCAGGGACGAGCGTTCGGAGGCGTGAATAGGCCTGATCCACCTATTTATCTCTGTTGGCTCTTTGTGTGAAAGGCCTTATCAACGATGTGGACGAGGCGTTGGGTTGAGGGTCCTTCATCAGGGTAATGTGGCTTCTGAAGCCTTTATTGCACCTGATGAGTCGCCATTCGTTCCCCTGGTGACTCACTGTTCACCAAGGGCCGTAACTGTGTAGTGCTAGTGAAATTAGCATATTTACGTGAGGCGTTATTGAGACAAGAGGGTAGCTGATGACTCATTGAAGCACTGGTAGCTTTCTAGATGGCCAGAGCTCACAAATTCAGCCACCCCTCACCTTCCTTCTTTCATCTGGAAAAACAGCAGGGGTGATGTTGTAATCATGTTGAGAGAAAGGCTACCTAAGTCAGCATTGTGCTTGTGTCTCTCCCTTGCTTCTGGTGTGTCCCTTGGTGGTAATCACTGGCTTCGCACAAAAATGGGTCCAACAAGGTGTAAGAATACATCATGTACTGTGTTAACTGTGCTACAGTGCTATGCTAAGTCAAGGTTCATGGTAAGCCAGAAATGATTTGTGTGGTGCAAAGTTTTACATAGCCAGTGAAACATAATTCATGTGTAACTTGACAGTTACACATTGAAATTTGAAAATAAGTTAATCTTATAAAAAAGTAATTGCATGAAACACACTTGTTTATTCAAGTAGCAGGATTAGGTAGCTACGTAGCCTCTTTCCTCAGGCCCTATAGTGACCATTCCATCGTCAGAATGGAAACCGACTTAGACGTATTCAATGAAAATAATCAAATAAAATATTGTTCCCTGTAACTCAGTTAACAGATTAACTAGGATTTTTTTGGATCTCTGTGTGTGAAATTTTGGAGGGGAGGGGCGAGAACCCCCTTCTGTAAAAACCATGCTGGAAGAGACTGCACAACTGTAGCTTTCTTTATATCAAAAAAATTGTAAATTATACTTTTCATCAAAATATATTCCATCAGTGTTACTGAAGAAGAAAATGCATAGTTCAGCTGAGGGACCTCCTCAAAAAACAGGCATGAATTGCATATTCTGGCTACTGCAAAAAGGTGTTAAATCATAATAACAGCACTGGACAGCTGAACGCGCTCGGAGGAAAGCGCCAACCGCCAGATCTGTTATGTCAGCTAAAATAGGTATTACGTCACCTACCCACCCAGAGAGAGCGAGGCCAACTGTGCTCTCTTGGACTCCCGGCTACAGATGGTTGTAGCATCACCAGGGATCGAACTTGCGATCTCCTGATGATAGGGCCAACACTTAGACGGTTGTGCCACTCAGGAGCCCGCTACAAGATTTTTGAACTCTGACCTTCAATCATGTCCACATCCAATCACGTACATCAAACCACTCTGAATGACTTTGTTTACATCTCAATGAATTATCTATGCAGAAATTTTGAAAATGGAATTCCCCATACAGACATCTGAGCTGAAGCTTTGTGTTAATTCATAAAATGTGTAGTTTAACAAGCAAATGCCTGAAATATAGAGATCAGGAAGGTTCATGCTTAAGGTGCCTATTTCTTAAGGTTCAATAACACTGATTCTGCTTGGGAGTTGAGCTGTATACAGTATCTCAGAGTAGAGGTGCTTATCTATGATCATCAGCTACCCTGTCCACATAACAGTACTCATTAAGATGATGAAAGCCAAAAGTTGGTTCTAGATCAGTGCTTTAAGATGTTTGATACACAGAGGGCTTAAAATAAATGAAAGCTCATGGGGACTACTTAGCATGGTCTTTTGCATAATGCTACTGCTTTGCATAATGCTGCTGCTTTAAGATACACAGGATTTTTCAACCCGTATATAAGGCAGGGCTGTAACATGAGGAAGAACGCAGTGTAGATAACAGTCATTACAGTTCAGACAATATTACCACATTATTGCCAAGTTCAATTTGCTGAAATGGAGGTCATTCAGCTGAAACATCCCAGTCTGAATCTCATATTCTGGGTAATTCCATTTCGACCTCATATGAATGCAGCATATGCTCACGCCGTAGAGCAAGATGGTCTCTGATGGTCGTCCTCCAGGCAAATGACAGTGGAGAACATGTGCATGTGTTTTGCTCGGCAGGCCTGCAGAATCTGTCCTAAAATTAATTTGTTCATTTTTAATAAATTGTGTTTTTGTAATATTGCCAAATATTCAATAGCGAGAAAACAGTTATGCTACCTAATTATAGTAGCCTGAAAGGATTAAGGGCTGACATTGAAAGGTTTTGTTGCAAAACGTGTTACAGACCACATTCAAGAATTTTATGTAGTGTTGGCAGTGGGCTTTACACATCAGTGCTATAGAAAGATCAGTACTTTAGAGAATTAAAAAGGTGTTTTATATGCCAACTGTTACTCTTTTCAAAAACTCATTACATCCAAAAAAGTTACAAATGGATATACAGCATTTTTGGAATGAAACCAGTTATATTAAGCACAACTCACCAGATTACACAATTTAGAAGACAAATTTCTTGTTTTCGGTCATTTTTGTCATCAAAATGCAAAGACTGCCTCAAAAAATCTCTTCTGAGTATCATGTTTCTCCTCCCCCTCCCACCATCCCCACCTATCAAAACACTCAACTAGCTCAGAGACCTGTACTGATACCATGCATCACGATACGGACTTGGTAAAGATGTAGGCTTATGACCATCAACATTGACGGCTGATAAAAACAGTTATGGTAGTATATTGTTATTGTGGTTGGTATAGTGTAGACGGTAACACCTCAATCTCTACCTGGGTAAGCACCCTACATTATACCAATAAGAGTCCTTGGGCTAGACTCCTAACTCTTCCTTCGCCTACCTATGTATCGCCAAATGCTTAAAATGTAAATGAGTTAAATACTAGTGGGAAATGTAAATGTACAACAAATACTCAGTACAGACACAACATTCAAAATTTGTTTTTAGATCAAACTAAAAGATTATAGCCTATTAAAGACAATATCAGTCAATGATTAAAAGTCACTTGCCCACCAGATGAAGATGAAGGTTAGGTTGTGCATATTGTACAAATATTGTGCAAACCATTATATTATACCACATTAGAGCCCTCTTCCTCTCTCTTTCCTGATCTTCATCTCTCTCTCTCTATCAGTCAGAAGCTGAGCTTTAAGGACCGGGTGAGGATGGCCAGTCCTCGGGGTCAGAGCATTAAGAGCAGACAAACATCAGTGACTGACCGCCGCTCTCCAGGTGCTGAGATCAACACTGAGGCCTCCAGTCCAGCCAAGGTCCAAAAGAGCTGGAGCTTTAATGACCGCACCCGCTTCAGACCCTCCCTCCGCCTCAAGAGTCAGTCACGCTCCACCACCGACGGTGAGCTCTCTCCTGATTGGCAGCTTGAGTTGTTGATTCATTGTCAAATATTTGTGGCCACCCCCACTTCTTGTTCTTTCGTGTGCTTTAAAGGATTTTAATCAATCAGCCAAGACATGTTTGTTCCAAATGGTTCCTATTGCTTTTAGTTATACAACATACTTTTGTTCATGTTTGTAGATAACAGAATGTCATAATGTGTCCGAGCAAGTCTGTTAGAGATTAGGCCTGGGTGATATTTAAAAATAATTTGTACAATATTCTCTAGTTAAAAAATTGTGATTATTAATTATATATAAGTAGAAGGTGGAGAGCTGTGCGGTAATGCTTGCATTACTTCGCATAGCAAAGAGAACTAACAGGCAACTTTTACTTTTACTCATCACCATCGGGTTACTTGTCCATCATCAGTGATTATCTAATTACATCGCCCTGTCACCCAGGCCTAGTTTGAGATTGCCTAACAACACGACAAATATGTTATGATTTAGGCATGTAGTATGGACAATGCCAGAACTTTCTGTCTGTCAACCCACATCATCCTGTTTTGAGTCCGAACCCGGCTCTGACCCAACTCAAATCCCCTCATTAAATCTGAAAAAGACCTGATAAATGTAAAATCATTAATAATTATGTAACTACAAGGGAACAGTTTGTGGACGAACTTCACAAAGCCAGAGCTATTAAATCACAAGTGATTGCTAGGATGTGGCTAGGGCATTCATATGGTATCCCAGATTGGTAATTGCAAATGGTGGCGTGGTTCTAGCTTGAGAAAAGCGACCCATGAAAAGGCTACCAAAAAAGTGAAAATGAATAAAATGAAGAACATTAAGTTGATAAATTATTATTATTATTATTATTATTATTATTATATGACATATATAGTATAATAAGAACTATATAACAAAATGTGTTTTAATTAATTTGTTTCTCAAACAATGCTTTTGAACAACATTCCGAGAGTTTTCAGTCTGGGTGAACTTTCCATACTGTGCTGTTCTCACACTGTGCTGATAAAGCAGACTGGACTCTCCTGAATTGATTCACGGTTTTATTTCCCATCCATTTTTATCTATTTCTCACAAGTGTGGGCCTCTGTCAGCAACACTATTTGGTGACTGCTGAATTATGCTCTATTAAAAATAATGTAAAGTAGTGAAATGAAGAATGAAGTAAGGATAAAAGCAGGAGGAAGCGCAGGGTACAATCTGTTCGAAGTGGGAGGCGGGCTGTGAGAACCCAGACTCAGCTGGATACATATTTGGAAAATGATGTATGAACCCAAACGAACCTGACATAAGCAGTTGGGTTGAAACAGATATTTCAAGCTCTGTGACACGGTTTTGAAAGAAAATGCATTCTGTTTTCTGGTTCACAGTGACTTTAAGAAATTATCTTGGATTGTTTGTTGTGGCTCATCACAGACCTTTCAGAACATCTGCCGTCTGCGAGCCACGTTCTTGTCAAATTCATAAAAATAATTACCCTGTACAGCAGTACACTCTCAAGGACGAGTGTTTTATAGTCAGTCTTTTGTCAGTGCCCAGGTTCCATTTGCAACAGGTGCATAGTCAGAAGAGAGTGAATGACAGGTCATTGTGAAGGGATAATGTTTGAGATGATGACTCTCAGGTTAAATCCACAATGAGCCCACACCGTATGCTAGCAGCTTTCCAGATTGTACCTTCAAACGAAACCCTTTATCACTGTGATCACGTCTGACCCCAAAAGACTTGCTTCCCATCAGACTGATCAAACCTGCTACGCTGAAGCATGGCTAGCCAATCAAAATGAAACTGACAATATCCCAAATTGAGATGTGCATTCTGGATAATTTTGATATTCAACAGAGTTAAAGAATAATATGTTAACTACATTTGAGAAAAGAAAAACAAAGCAAGTGGTTTGCTGCTTAAATTAATGTAGTGCTGTACACAGAAGTAAAGGTACTAAACTGTCACTGGGGCAGTACCTCTCCTCACTGGGGTGGTCAGGGAACATAACTGTACCATAATCCACTAAAATTATATTTTCTAAGTTGTCTTGCCTTGTTTTAAAACATGAGGTTATGAAATGGTGCTAATACATACTTTTCACCTGGAAAAACGTATTTAAGGTTCACAGTTGGACCTTAAAACCACTGTTGTACCTTTGAGGGAACATTTTACATTGTTTGTACCTCGATGTACCTGCACAGAACCTTTATTCCTAACAGTGTAGGGTGACCTTTTTAGGTGAAAGCGCTGGTGCGCTGGAGGGAAATTGGTAGGTTTTCATGTTGGATGACTCGCCTTGTCAGGTGAGCTAATGAGCTAAACCAACAGCTATCCAGTACAACACTGTATGAACTCCTTGTCTTCTACAGGTGAACGATGTGCCATCAGATTATTTTGTCAGAGAAATATATTTCCACTGTTTCTGGACCTAGCTAACATCAGCTAGAGTAGTTAGCATAGTTAGTGCTAAAGCTATACTCTCTGCCTTCTCAGGTACATCCTTGACAGCATGAACTTGCCAAAATGCTCATGTTAAGGCACTTTTTACATACTAGCAAAGTGTGATATAATACTTTTACTTACTTACAAATGCAAGCAAACCACATTTTACTGTATTTTAGATAGGCTGGAACTACTTGTTACCTTGCTCTGTCTGGTAGGCTGCTGCTACCTAGCTCACCTGAATAAACGAACGCACTAACAAAATAATGTAAAATTGGTCACAAATGCAATTTTGGGGATGTGAGTGATACATGTTATATTTATGTAATATATTCAATGACCACAAATAATTTAGATGAAACAGTTGCATTTAATAGTAATACTAAAATAAAAAATGAATTACATGAGAAATGCTCAGTGAGCTGTGGTGTTGACATTGGTGAGGCATTGTCCTGCTAAATGACCCTTTTCTTCTCCTTATCCCTCTATCTCTCTTGGTATGGTGAAGGGTCAAAGTGTAGTCATGCCCTGTGGGGTCATCACTGCGTGGGTGATGCTGCAAAAAATCCCCCCTCCCCACCATGTCTCTAATAATCTGTGTCTGCAGTAAAGTAGATTGTCAGACACACACACACTTTGGTTTGTTTTATGCATTGTCAGGACTTGGGATCATACATGTGCTCTGTATGTAGAGTTCTGCTCATAAGTTTACATACCCTGACAGGATTTAATTTATTTAGGAATAGTGGTCAGATGAAGCCATTTATGATCATATAGTTGTTTGTGCTCTTCTTAAATTATAAAGATAATTGAAATCACTTAAAATGGCTCTGATCAAAGGTTTACATACCCTTGCAAGTTGACACAGGTTTAAATGGCTATTAAGGGTAAATTTCCACAGCTGTGACTTGTTTGATTGTAATTATTGTCTAAGTATAAATAGTCAATGGGTTTCTTAGCACTTTAGAGACCCCTGCACATTCATCCAGAGCTGCACTGACTTTGCTGGATACTAAGCAATGAGGAAAGCAAAAGAACTGCCAAAGGACCTGCAAGAAAAGGTGGTTGACCTCTATAAATCAGGAGAAGGATATAAAAAGATATCCAAAGATTTGAAAATGACAATCCGTAGTGTTCAAACTACTAAAAAAGAATAAAGAAGTGGAAAACTAGGGGTTCTGTTGATTCCAAGACAGGGTAAAATAGACCAACAAAGATTTCAGTCACAACTGCTGGGAAAATTGGTCAGGATGCAACAAAAAAACCCACAAGAAACTTAAGCTAAAATAAAGGCCACTCTGTAAGAAGTGGTGTGGCTGCTTCAAGATGCACAATAAAGAGGTACTTGAACAAAAATGGGCTGCGTGGTCAAGTTACCAGAAAAAAGCCATTACTGCGCCAATGCCACAAAACAGCCCACTTACAATAAGCCAAACAGCACCTAGACAAGCCACAAAACCTCTGGAACAAAGTCATTTGGAGTGATGCGACTAAAATTGGAGTTTATGGTCACAACCATAAACGCTATGCTTGGAGAGAAATCAACAAGGCCTATGACAAAAAGTATGCCATCCCTGCTGTGAAGCATGGAGGTGGATCTCAGATGTTTTGGGTATGTGTGAGCTACAGCAGCACAGGGAACTTAGCCAAAATCGATGGCCAGATGAATGCAGCATGTTATCAGAAAGTATTGGAGGATAATTTGCATTCATCAGCCCGGAAGCTGCACATGGGACGCTCTCAGACTTTCCAACAGGACAGTGATCCAAAACACAAGGCCAAGTCAACTCTTCAGTGGCTGCAGCAGAAAAAAGTGAAGGTTCTGGAGTGGCCATCACATCCTCCTGACCTCAATTTCATTGAGCCATGTTGGGGAGATCTTAAACATGCAGTTCATGCTAGACAACCCAAGAATTTACAGGACCTGGAGGCCTTTTCCAGCAAGAATGGGCAACTTTTACTACCTGAGAAAATAAAGGGCCTCATCCACAACTATCACGAAAGACTGCTGTCATTGATGCCGAAGGGGACAATATGCAGTATTAAGAACTAAGCGTGTGCTAACTTTTGAACGGGGGACCATCTCAGTATTTTCCTTATTGCTATGTTTTGTTTGATGATTGTGCTGTTCTATGATGCCTTATAGTTCAATTTGAACCCCATTAAAATAAAGTAATGCGTGTTTCCTGATCACTCATGTTTTATTTAAAGAATGGCACACATCCTACAAATTGTGCCAGGGTATGTAAACCCATGAGCAGAACTGTATGTATGAGGGATGTATGTAATAATATGTCCCATTTCTATTATTTACAGTACTGTGCAAAAGTCAAAGACAACCTTTCATTTAATTTCCATTCAAAACGACAGTTAGTACAAGTTTTTCATTTTTCAGTGTAAAAAATAAAGCAGAAAACATACTGGAAAATGACACATCCTGTATTTTCACATATTTTCATTTGGCTCACCTCTTCCTCATGCAAGTGGTTTGTCATATATCTAACCTCCTCAGAAATATCTCCTGTAAAATAAATAACTTATACTTAATGGCTGTTTTGACTGGAAATGAAATAAATGAAAGGTGGTCTCTGACTTTTACACAGTACTGTATGTCCCCTACACCCTACACCTTACCTAACTTCAGTAACCATTTTGTTGGTTCTGACAGAGTAGGTTCACCCTGTTTTTCTATGGTTTTCCTACAACAAAAGACTTTTTTTCATCCTTAAAATACATGAAACAAACAAGTACACACTTACACCAACATACACATTCACTTCCCTCTCTTCTTCACACTTCTACTGACACTCAAATCCCTGTCTGCATGTCTCAACCCTCCACTTCCACAAAATTCCCAATCCCGACGTTCCCAACCCTGCCTGTGGCTAGCCGGCAAATAGCGAGACAAAACAATGGCCTTAATCAAGAGAGGGTCACATTCCACTGTCTCTGTGTGTTTCTGTCTACTTTTGTGCTTCTCATTGCAACAGAGCCGTGGATTCTTCTCACATATCTGTGGATTGTGTGAAATAAACAGACCTATCCGTGCTTCATCCACAAACGTGTTCTTTGGACAAGCTTTACGGAACGTTCGCATTCAACACAATGAATTTAAGTTTAGACTCGAGTTTCCAGTTTAAAATGATAGTATTTTATTAGCCTTCATGGGATTTTTGCCTATATTCTGTAAAGCTTGCATCAGCTGCTATGAAGGGATCCATTTATAGGTACAGCTTGGATAAGTCAGTTACTGGAGCTACTCTCCAGTGCGGCAGTGAAGCCATCGCCCTTAACCAGAAGAAACCTCAGGCTTTTCTAACTTAAAGACTTAAAAAAGGAAATTGGTTCCTGTGGTCCATTGCAGTACAGTTGAAGTGGTAGCCCTATATCCTCTCAGGGACTTATGATTACTATTGATTTTTAAATCCCAAACCTGTTTTTTTAATACTGCCTTTGTGTGGCTAAGTCTGGATATCATGGATTTCACACACAATCCTCCACTGTCCTCACATGACCTGCTATGAAAGCTGGTGCTAATCTTTGGCCACAGATGACCTTAGGTGAGGCACAAAAGTGTTTGGCCGGATACTTCACCTGCTGGCAACAGTACAGTGCCCTGGCTCGCCCTTGTAACTCAAAGCTGGCGAAGGTGCACTATTAGCACTCTAGATATTAACTGCCTGAGCGCAGAGTAGATACATGTCTCTTTTTCTTTATGTTTTTTATTTTTTATTTGGATTTTTACCCAGTCTTCCTCTTAATTTTTGTCATGACCGGTTTAACTGCTGGCTAGGTCCCTCACCACACTACCAAGCTGTGATGGGTGTAGGCTAGCACATGCTTCCTCCATCCTACCCACCCAGAGAGAGCAAGGCCTATAATAATCTCTTGGACTTCTACGGATGGGCCTACTTAAATTTTTCTTTTAAGAAATTGCTTTAAACTCAACCTTCATAACATGTTTAGTAATGAAAATAAGCAATATCTCTTATTAGCTTTATCCTGTGCAAATAGTAATGGGGATAGTAATAGTCATCGTCTCACTGATGGCAACAATTTCATTTTTGCTCAGACTTTTAGTAGTAATGGGTGGTTATTCACTTTCGTTTAATGATAGAAACATTATCATTTTGCTCAGACTTTTAGTAGTGACGAGTGGCCATTCACTCTCATTCACTGATAATAATGGTTGGTTATTTGCTTTCATTTAATGATAGCAACATTAGCATTTTTGGTCAGGTTTTAACAGTAATAGGTGGCTGTTTTCTGTCATTCACTGATATTAGCAGTCAAACTTTAATTCTGTGGTTCCCACTTTTTTACTGGCTCTTTCATTTCAGCTCATTTAACTCTCTCTGTGTGGCTCTCCTGCTATTATTACCTGCTTTTCTCAGTTTCTCTCTTATTCCTTGTCATTCTTCTTGTGCAGGTTATCTAGTAGACAGACAGCTTTTAACAGCAATGATACCTCACTCGTGTGAGTGAATGATTGGAAGGTTAACCATGTTTGACCCCATGAGAGAGCTGACATGTATGCGTGTGTGTGTGTGTGTGTGTGTGTGTGTGTGTATAAACAGCTGAGTCTAATGTGGGAGCAGAGGACACTTTCGATGACAAAGGCTGTCACTGTGAAATGTCTGCTGATGATCTGCAGCCAGCCATTAAGACAGTCATCCGAGCGGTCAGGTAACCCATCTCTTATCACCTCTTTGATTTAAGCCTTAGAAGCTCAGAGATGTTACTTTTGAGTTTCTACACCTTTCAAATATGATTGCAGATTTTAATTGCTTTGTTATGCTAAGCATTACATTGAAATTTGATTTGAGTTCTGTGGTATGCACGTCTGACTTTTTTCTGCTTATGTTGATCCCAAAAAATGACAAAAATGAAAAATGTTTTTTTTTCTTTCTGCAAAACAAGACTGTATATACAGCAATAGCTTTTCATCAAATTCAGATCATAATAAAATATCTCCTCTTCTGCTTACAATCACAGATGAATTGGAAGTTTAGAATGAATAATTTTGATAGAATTTATCCACGTTTTGTCGATCAATCAGCCGTCCGTACCAGAAGTATAGACATCGCACTAATGGTGGTCAGTCTAACTGAAAAAGCCTATTGTAAGGAATATAACTGCCAGTTCCTGATCATATTACTTATAAGGTAAATTACATATTGGCTGGGCATGATCTTATAATATACTGTACAGAAGGCATCAGGAGTGCATAATATGGAAAAAATGAAATTATAAATCTGTTGCTACGTCTAGGAATTTTGCACTGCGTCATATTTATTTTAATGGAGATCTCTGCCAGATCCACACAGTAAAAGTTATAAAAGCATAAAAAGGCAGTGACTATTAGAGTGAGGCCTTCAGTTCATGCCATAAATGCAAAAAAGCACTTCTCTATGCTATTGTTAATTTCTGCTAGCACCACGATGGGACTCGAGTAGGATGTTAATGCCAAGTTATTGTTTTTTTATTGAGGGGACTTTGTTGATTAAGCAAGAACAGTTCAAACTTGTAAAATTCATTCCGTATTTTATTTGAAGTTTGTAACAGACATATTAGCATATATTTTAGCTTTTATGTGTTTCCCATTTCCAACAACTGACTGAAATGTTCCTATTCAGTCACTGACATATGTAGAACTTCCAGAAGTGGGTTCCCAGTCCTGACCCTAAAGATCTACCACTCCGCAGAGTTTAGCTCCAACTCTACTCTAACATACCTGTTCCATGAAGGCCTTCAGGGGCATCTAAATTGCACATAAATAATTAGGCCTTCTCAGACTGCCTACAAGGCGCTGAGGGTTCACCACTGTCAAAAGCCATAAGTCTGTATTTTAGTCTCATTTTAAACTTTTGTGTGACATCGAAACAAGTAAGAAACAGCAAGATGCGCATCAGATTGTCCAAAATATGTTTGATATGCTTCCTTTATTTGAAAACAGAAACATAGAAACACCCACTAACAGAAACCAGAGGGATCCGTTGCAGAATGCGGCGAGAAAAGTGCTAGTGGACGCACTCCGTTAGGGTGCTATCTTCAGTGCGTATTGACAGGCTGCTGTGGTAGCCCCTCCAGCTTTCAACAGTGGGCTTTGGAAGAGCTGTAGGGTGATTGCGGGTGGGTGTACGTGAGACAGAGAAAACGAAAGAGAGAGAGAAGAGGGGAGATAGAGAGAGCTCAAGCATTGCCTGAGGTTTTATCAGAGTATCGGAATTTGTTTGGTTACCATAACCATCCTATAATATTTTCTCTGAGGGTAATACACTTTGACTCAGTTTTAAATGAACAAGGCCCAAATATTTTGATAACAGTTCCCAAATATTTTTTATTAATTTATCTCCAATATCTTTTCTTTTGAGTTACTTTATTTTGAGTTACATTACTGCCCCCTACTGACAGGAATATGAAAGTACAGCATGAGGCCAAGTGAGCTTAATTTTTTCATACTGGAGCTTAGAAAGCATCTGTCACTTGTTCAGCCAGTGTGATGATGCCCATATATATATATATATTAGGGGTGGGGGAAAAATCGATTCTCAGATGCATCGCGATGCGGATGTGGACGATTCTGAATTGATTCACAAATATCAAAAATCGATTTTCTAAATTTTAATTGATAATGTATCACTGACGGAACACAAAAGGCGGAACTGTGCAAAGTGTGGAAGTGCAGCGCCCGGAGGGTCTGTGGCTGCACACTACATTAAAAGCTAGTGCAGGGGTCGCAACCTGAATGTTAATAAGAGTCATTTTGTCCTTTCAATAAAAATCTAACCACCTTGGGAGCCACAACATTTTATGTCCATTTTACCATCTTGGCTGTATGTGTCTCAGTATGTGCTGATGTCCTAATGTAATCTAAAAATATAATACAAACAAAAATGCAGACTTACTTTGCTCCGCTTTAAGCTTTAGCTCAGCTGTAGCTGCTTTTCTTGCTTCACCAGCTGGAAACTTTTCCACACAAGTAGAACAGTTTCTTGTAAAATGTCTCTCAATGTTCTACTTTTTATATATATGTATATATATATATATATACAGTGGAGGAAATAAGTATTTGATCCCCCACTGATTTTGAAAGTTTGTACTCTGACAAATAATTAAACAGTCTATGATTTTTATGGTAGCTTCATTTTAACAGTGAGAGATGGAATATCAAAAAGAAAATCTAGAAAATTAAATAATATTTAAATACAAAATAATTTGCATTTCATTAAGGGAAATAAGTATTTGATCCCCTAAAAACCATGACTAATGTTGGCTCCCACAGACCACTGACACACCCTAATCTCAGTGAAGTCGTTACCTGCATGAGAGACACCTGTCCCAAATTGTCACCTGTATAAAAGGCCACCTGCCAACAGACTCAGTGACACTCTAACATCTCCACCATGGGCAAGACTAAAGAGCTGTCTAAAGATGTCAGGGACAAAATTGTTGACCTATACAAGGCTGGACTGGGCTACAAAGCCGTAAGTAAGAAGCTGGATGAGAAGGTGAGAACTGTTGGTGCAATTATTCGGAAGTGGAAGAAGTACAACATTACTGTCAATCAACCTAGGCCTGGAGCTCCATGCAAGATATCACCTCGTGGAGTCTCATTGATCATGAGAAAGGCTAAAAATCAGCCAAGAACTACACGGGAGGAGCTGGTTAATGATCTCAAGGCAGCTGGGACCACAGTCTCCAAAAAAACCATTGGTAATACACTGAGACGTAATGGTTTAAAATCCTGCAGTGCACGCCAGGTTCCTCTGCTCCAGAAGGCTCACGTCCAGGCCTGCCTCAAGTTTGCCAGTGAACATATTAATGACTCCGAGAGAGACTGGGAGAAGGTGCTGTGGTCAGATGAGACCAAAATTGAGCTCTTTGGCCTCAACTCAACTCGACGTGTTTGGAGGAAGAAAAATACAGAATATGACCCTAAGAACACCATCCCCACCGTCAAGCATGGTGGTGGACGTATTATGTTTTGGGGGTGTTTTTCTTCTAAAGGCACAGGCCAACTTCACCGCATCGACGGGAAGATGAACGGGGCCATGTATCGCAAAATCCTGGGTGACAACCTCCTTGCCTCCGCCAGGGCACTGAAAATGGGTCGTGGATCGGTCTTCCAGCACGACAACGACCCAAAACATACAGCCAAGGAAACAAAGGAGCGGCTCCATAAGAAGCATATCAAGGTCATGGAATGGCCAAGCCAGTCTCCCGACCTCAATCCCATAGAAAATCTATGGAGAGAGCTGAAGCTTCGCGTTTCCAAATGCATGCCTAAAAACCTTAAGCATTTGGAGATGATCTGCAGAGAGGAGTGGGCCAAAATTACTCCTGAAGTGCAAACCTTATAAAAAACTACAAGGAACGTCTGACTGCTGTGCTTGCCAACAAGGGTTTTGCCACCAAGTATTAAATGATGTTTTACTAGGGGGGTCAAATACTTATTTCCTTCAATGAAATTCAAATTAATTTTTATTTCTCATTTCATGTAATTTTCTGCTGAGTTACAGTCACTAATTTTCTACATGCTATGTGCTTTATTTTCAGGATCATGAAGTTCCATGTGGCAAAGAAGAAGTTTAAAGAGACGTTGCGTCCATATGACGTGAAGGACGTGATCGAGCAGTATTCAGCTGGACATCTGGACATGCTGTGTCGGATTAAAAGTCTACAGACCAGGTACCACAAACCTCAGCAGTGAAATGGATCCACTTTCTACACATATGATACCAAGGGCATTTTAAAAAGTATGTATATATATATATATATATATATATATATATATATATATATATATATATATATATATATACACATACAGTACTGTGCGTATGTTAGAGATCACCCTTTCGTTTATTTAATTTCTAGTCAAAACAGTTATTAAGTACAAGTTTTTAATTTCTGATAAGGTTAGATATAAGTCTATCTACAAGGAAGGCGAAAGAGGAGAATGACACTATTAGTCTGAACACTATGGGTCATGTGTTTGGGATTTTTTGGATCGTGAGAAACAGAAAATGTAACCAACTTCTAAGACTGAACTTTGGAGCTGTGGGAAAATCTCCCTGCAGATTTACAAATACTGAAAGCAGAGAGTGGAAAGTGTAAGCAAGGCAAAGAGTGGACACACTAAATACTGAAAAAGAAAATCTGGAATTTTTAAACTTGGAAATAAACAACAGAATATTTTAGAATTTTTAAATATTAAAACATAGAAAAGTAAAATGCAAGGAAAATGAATAAATATTAATGATTCTGCGCTAATTCTAGGCCACTGTTCAAATTTATGCACATTTTATTTGGAGTCGTACCCCTTCCATTGATATGCGTGTTCATATGACATACAAGTGCATCCCATCTATTTGTCAGAGGCTTGTTTATGTCAATCAACTTACAGCCATTGTTCAACTGTCATGCTGTCATTAAAGCTAAAGAGGGACATACTAAATACTATGAAATTCTAAAATGTGTATTATTTGAAAATAATTTTATTTGCAGACCTCAGATATATTATATTAGATATCACTATACTTATAGTCTTAGAAACACATATCTAAGCATGTGTTTAGGTTCCTTTAGGAGTGTCCAAATTTTTGACTGGTGGTGTATACGGCACATAATAAACTGACATGCGCTCAGGCTGATAAGAGTTGAAGAATAGTTGGGGAAAATTCATATTTACATCAGAGCTGCAAGGCTAATGTAGAAAACACATAATGAAAACTTATACTCCATCAATTAGCACTGTGCTAACTGAATGCCTAAGTCATCACACACCTGCTTCAGAGTGTGTTGAATCTCAAATAGACTTGCTGATGTGACACTGACATACTGTTATCTATAAAAACAGTATATTATACAGCTAAAACAGTAGGATCATTGTCAGTATTTCTGTAGATCTCAGTGAGGGGAAACGTAAAAAATGTGTTATATTCCTTTAACCTGATATAAAGAAGTAACTGTCTGTTTTTTTATTGGTCACATCGGTTTCAAGCTCGGATTTTAAGGCAATGTGAATTCACTGTCGCTTGAATGGGTCAGGAGTGTCCTTTTTTTATCCTCCTGTGTTACAGAAGCTTGTGGCAAGGCCATGTCTTCACATGGTCTATATTTGTGGTGCATCTTTTGTCTGTTGTTTTCTCCCACTGTAGTTGTCCTACAGTCACCCCAGGGCTTTTTTTCTCATACGCTAGTTCCGTATGTATTACAGCTGAAAGCAGTACAGCAGGAAGTGGTCAGTGTAGGGGTCAATGCAGCCAGCACATACATGCATTCTAGTTACATAGCCAACAACTCTCACATATCAGGCATTTAGCCAATCTCAAGTCTTATGTTAACCAATCAGCATCTGGGAAACAACAACAGTCAACAGCAGCAGTCACGTTAATTCACACAGGAAGGTCGTCCACGTTTTTTTTGGTTTAATGTGAAAACTGTGTGTGTCCGGATTTCACATGTTGACCTTCACTAAATATTAATTCAGTTAATCTTTATTCATTTTCACAAGACCAGTATAGAAATGCTCACATCATTAGAGACACTGAACTTGTTTTTGAAGATGTATTATTGTTTGAGCCAACAACGTGGGTTGTTTTCAGTTTCGTGCCATCATGTCGTGTGTAGATGGCTGACCTGGAGGCAGTGTCTCTCCTTGGTTAGTAATGGGTCACTTGCAGTTTTGATGGACAGTACACTGGACTCAATGGGCAGGTTTAGAGTGAATGAAATAAGCTGTATTTTCTGTGGAGGAACTTCTAAAGAAGTCATTGTTGGTCTTCTCTTGATCACTTTTGTTCACATGATTAATTTCTTCAGTGGATTTTCCCAAGAAATTCAGTGGTTGCAGCGTAGTGGAAGATGCACTTCACTTATTCTGTATTGTATTTTCCTTGTTTCTTTTCTTTAAACAAAATTTCTGCATTAAGTGAATTTGTTTTCCTACAGTATGTTTTATACAGTAGATCTCCCATTTGAAATCCTCTGGATTTGACTGGTAAGGGATATTCCCGTCCAAGGGGCCAGTGCCACCTTGTGGTTGTGACTAACTGAATGTGTGCAGTAGAATATCATTCACAATTCCTAATTAAACCTGTGAGGATTAAACTGGATTTGCTGGAAAAAGTTTTTTTTCTGTTGAATACAGTTGGATGACGCTATTGCTGTTGTGGTTAACCACAGTTTTCTGACAATGTCAATATGATCACTTCCGTGTTACATTACAGTTTGAAATCACTTTTTTATGTTCATGTTTCGGTTTTTTTATGTACAATACCTTAGAAAATGCAGATTTAACTACTCTGAACTACGCAACAAAGGTATTCTTTGATGTTTTAGTCAATATTTGAAGTGTTTTGGCAACAACAAGAAGACATTTGTAGATAAACATACTGTAATTATGTATTTTCTAGCAATTTTTTGTCACTGTTGAAATATACCATATTATGAATATTCATTTTATTATAACTTCAACTATGTTACAGTCATCTACAGCTCTGTCCATCATTCTGGACACATCATTCATTTATCTATCTGTCTCTTTGTCTGTCCATCCATCCATTTATATATTTATTGATTTATTTATTCGTTTATTTATTTGTTAGCTTTCCACTAATTATTTGTGATTATATAAACTCGCAAAGGTGGGCAGCACTCGCGTATTAGGAGGATATGTTGTACACTTGTCTGCCACCATGCTACTTTATGCAATAAACCTTTTAACAGTGATGCCAAATGTTTGAACTCTAGTGTCCATTTTTACTGCATGAATATTCTCATTCTGTTTGACCGTTCAACACACTGACTGTTATGGATTTTATGGTTCTCCTATCAGTTTTATTACCTGCTATAACTGTAATACTGTCTGTGTCTCAGGGTGGATCAGATCCTGGGGAAGGGTCAGGTTCCTCTGGATAAGAAGCTGAGGGAGAAGATGCTGGCTGATGGAGATTTGCTGGAGGATGTTAGCATGCTGGGGAGAGTGTGTAAGGTGGAGAGGCAGGTGAGTAACAAACAAACACTGTATTATGACCCTAATTCACAATGTCTCCTTCGGCAGATTCTAGTATAATGAGCCCCATTCAAGACCATTTAAAATCTATTCAGTTACTACATTTACATGCACACCAGTACTTTCACATTAGTCTAAGAGTGTTAGTGTTAAGAAATGGTCATGTAAACAGAATTAGGGGGCATTTCATGTTGTGGTGTTTCTGTGTCAGATTATGCATGTATAGTCGTATGCAAAAGTTTGGGCACCCCCTGGTCAAAAAGCATATTTTTGTTAATTTTCTAAGTGAAAATAAGTTAATACATCTTCACACTTCTGCACATTTTAATGCATAGTTATTTGCTGAATTTAACATGCTGCATGCTGGGAAAACTAATAAAGTTACACAATGTTGTGGTTCAGTGCAATGTTGTGGTTCAGTTCTCAGACTAAGACATGAGTTGCCCCATTGTGTGCATGTAAATATAGCTAGTCATAACCCATACACTTCTGATAAAGTAATATTGCTTTCAGTACTGTATTGATATTTGGTAATCTCACATCTAATCGTGGCAAAAACGGGAAAAGAAACATTTTTAAATGTCATATGTTTCATTTCAGCATCTTTTTTTTATGAAATGTGTTGGTAGTCTTTTACTGAAGAAAAAATATACTACTGTTTTAAATGCCTTAAAGGTGTAGTCCAAAATTTCAATATAATCCAGTCACTGAGATGTAAACAAAGTCATTCAGAGTGGTTTGAAGTGAACTGGTTCAGTGTAGAGAAACTTATCGACTCAGATTTCTTTACAGTGGTGGTGATAGGGAAGTCATAAGGTCTGCAAAACAAGTAAAGCCGTTTTATTTACCATCCAAAACAACCAGTGAAGCTACACGTGTCTTCTGAGTTTTTATATGGTGAAACAGTGATAAATTAGTTTTCCTTTACTGTTTTGCCTCACAAAGCCCTGCATGTACCTCACCATGAATGGATTTTAGAAAAAGCATTTTAGGCCAAAGCTTCATCTCAGAATGACCCTAAAACAATTTCTCGGACAACAGGCAGCATATTTGTTAGCATTTCGTGCAATAACTTTCCACAAGGGAGCCTTTTGAGGCATTACACTCTTCAGAGGTTTGGTTCCTATCACCACCACTCTACAGTTTTTCTACAATTGAGCATTTCACATCGAACCACTTTGAATGACTTTGTTCACATGTGAAAGAATTAATTATGCAGAAATTCGCTTTAAACCCCTTATTATTATCTTTATTGTTTTTTTTGTTTTTTTTTAGCAAGTACTGTGAATTATTCTGTAACTGCAGTGAAGTTAATATGTAAGTTATGTGTTTATGAAAGTGAGAAATTGAAGTGTGGGCCACGTACAAAGAGCTTAATGCTGTATTAAAAGAATTTCATACCCTTGCTGTCCAAAATCAATTGAATTAAAAAAATGTTGCATTAACTTTTAATGAAAGTTGAGACCAGTTGTGCCTTTAACTGGAAAGTTGTCATTTTTGAGATACTCAGTTGTTTGGTTGTTTTTTTTTGGACAGCGACAATATGTACAGAGAAGAAGGTGAAACTTTTTCACATATACAGATGAGTCAGAGAGTTATCTGACATTTTTTTACAAATAAAATGTGTTGGAATTGTACAAAATTGCAAATTGACAGATGTTAAATTTTTTAGTCCAGTTTAGTGTATTTACTGTGTTTTATTACTAGATAACATCCTGGGTTTATCGCTTTACACTGTAAAGGCCCATATACTTCAGTTTCTCGCTCTCATACAGAATAGTTTCATAGTAGTAACCAAAACCTTTATAATAATCTCTGCAAACATCATATTAGCTACTGAATAATAAGTTTTAAGACTAATAACTGAATAATTAACCTAAAGTTCCAGCAGTTAAGTCTGTCCCTGTCCCCTGTCCAGGTCCAGTCTATTGAATCTAAGCTGGACTCCTTGCTGGACATCTACCGGCAGGTCCTGCGTAAGGGCTCCCCCTCGGCAATCAATCTCTCCTCCTTGCCGCTGTTTGAGCTCGAGCAGACATCTGACTACCAGAGTTCGGCCTCGCAGTTCAGCCGCTCAAACAACTCCAACCTGTCCCAGGGCCTCAACGAGCTCAACTTCAACCTCAACAACTCGTCTGGATCTCCTCCTGGTGGAGCTGTCCCAACCTCTGCTCCACCTTTTAGCCCCTCCCCACTCCAGCCTCCAGCCACGCCCACCCCCGAGGGTCCGCCCATTGGTGGGAGCCCACCTCCTATCCTCATGCCCAATAACATCCACTCTAGCGGGATGCATTTTCCCAACATTGGCCTCCTCCCTCCACCTCCATTGTCAACAGCTTCTACAAGGCTTCAGCTGCCCCTGTTGGCGTCCCAGTCAGGCCGGACCAACAACGGCTCAATACCACCTCAGTCCAACCCACCAAATGACTACCCTCCTTCATATTTAACCAGACCCCAGAAGGATTTAGCCCTTGGAGAGCCAGCATTGGGGAGGCTGCAGCAGAAAAGCAGGCCCAGTGCCAAGGAGGACGGTTCCTGGAGGAGACACATGAGCCTAGAGATGGAGATGGAGATGGAGATGTATCCCTTGGCTGCGCTTTCTCCAGGCAACGGGGGTCAAGCACTGGAGAAATCCCTTTCAGTCCAAGACCTCATGGAAGCTCCAGAAGTGGACGGGCAAGGGAGTCTTTCGGCCAGCAGCAGCCAGGACTCTGGAGGGGGCTGGTGTGAAGCTGACCTTTTCATTGCCGATAGTGACCTGGAGAACTCAGTTCAGACTCACTCTGACTTTGGCTTCCTGTCTCAGCCTGCAGCTGATGTTACGTTCTCCTCTGAGCTTCTGAGGACCACAACAGCAGGAGAAAACCTCAACCTACCCAACGCGGGTGGCACCGAGCCTTTCAGTATGTCGCACGTTCGACTAAATTGACTTGATGAACTCTGGTCAGACTCTTACATGAACAGTTCGGTCAGAAATGCTAATGTTACTAACAGTGAATGAAAGTGATTAGGCAGCAATTAGCATTATGCTAACTGAAAGAAAAATAACTTGGGGGTGTAGCAACTCATAAAATTTGTAATTTGATTTCGTATGTGCGCCTGTCCCCCGGGCCCCGATGACGACCGCGAGAGCCAGCAGGAAGGCGAGACCTGAACCCTGAGCGAGGACGAAGCACCATGAGGATGGCAGGGAGAAGAAATTCACAGGGAGTGGTAATGGGAACGGTGCATGAATCCCGAACTCCGCTGCCCAGGCCCCCATCCTGTTCCACAGTGAGGCCCGGGAGACAGGTGCATGCCACAGTTTGATACAGTGGTGTCTCAATTCCTTACATTTTTCGATACAGCAAAAAAGGAGTGGCTGAAAAAGGCTTGCATTAATACAGTCATGTGCAAAAGTTTGGGTGCCCTTTGAAATGATGCATTTTGTTGATTTTCTAAGTGAAAGTAAGTTAACTAATCATCTACAGAGAACAAATTTTACGCCCTTTAATGCAGAATTACAGTTTATTTGCCAAATTTGACATATTTTAGGTACAAAAACATAAAATGTGGCATGTGTAAAAGTAATGGCGCTTTATTGATCTTATTTTTTTCTAATAAAATCTTCCGCAAATAAATAGAAACCGTGCACTAAACTGTGCATCAAACATTTGTATATGACTGTGTTACAGTTTAAATTTTCAGCTTGTTAGATCATTCAACATTATAAAATTGCAGTATTTATAACTAAAATTAATGCTGTAGCCACAAGCTAACATGATAGTCACGTTACAAAAATACAAAACAATACAATATGATATATTGTACTGTTACATCCCTAATTAAATTAGCTTGATTTAAATGTTTGCATTATTTCCACATAGGTTTTTTACATCAACACAGTTTATGAAATAGTGTGAAACTTCTTTTATTCATGTGGAAATGATGTACACATTTGAATAGAGTGAATCCAGCACATCACTTTTTATTCAGTGTAGCGTCATGGCAATTGTTACTAGCTTTCTTTCATCGTTAGCCAGGTTAGCATATTTGCTTGAGCTGCTCCTTTTAATGAATGACGCAAAGCTTGATCTGAAAGCTTTGTCTTATTTTGAAGAATTTTATTTCGGAAAAAAAACAGTGAAGGGAGGTTAGCAGAGGGTGGGTTAGTGGGTTGGAATGGGGAGGGGGCTGTAGTTTAAGTTTGTTTTTTTAATTTCAATTATTTTTATTTCATTTTTATAACTAAATGTTTAGTAGTGATTAATTTAAAAGAAAGGAAAGCGTTTCATACCGTTGATCATACATGATGACATATCATTGCATGCACCATTCTTTTTCCAGCTGAACCATACTGATAGCACAGATCAACAGGGAGAGATAATCCAACGACAGCTGTTAAAACTCAGTAAGACATGGTGAAAACAGAACTGCATGAGCATTGCATGATTCCAGCACAAGTACATAAAGTAGTGACCGCATTATTCGCTGAGTCCTGCCCCCAGATGACTGATGTTAAACTAGGAAGGAAAGTTTTTAACAAGTTGGCTTGACAAAAGTATTATAATGTATGTTTTAATTGGTCGACAGTGGTATTAATATTTAATTAGAATAGAATATCTAGCCTCTATGAGGTTTATCTGAGGATATGTACCACTTGAACTTGAAGGACTTCTTTTTTACATTTAGCTCTTTGTTTGAAATGGAATGATGAAAAAATAGGCTGTAGACAAAAGATTATAAAAGTACATTTTAGATAAAGGAATGGTAACTTTTTTCAAAGCCAAAAGGAATTCAGTATTAAAGGATGGATGAAAAAGGGAGAGATACAAAAAGGTCTGTAATAATAATAATAAGAAGAAGAAGAAGAATAGCAATTCAAATATATAATTGAGTGTTTCAAGTTGGCAATATAAAGTTTCAAGCCAAATTAGGTCAAGCCAACTTAATTCTATCTTCTTTTGCTCTGTAACTGAAGGTCCTACAGAAATGTTGTTTTTTTTTACACTTTCCAACTGTTACATTGCATCATAAACTTTGTTTATTTTTCTTCAGATACAATAAGTGCCGGACACATTGATGGACGCCTTTGCTGCTGAACATTGTACAGTTTTGATATCTTCAATTAAATACTGAGTAGAGCTTAGAATTCCATTTTCAACTGCTTCACTTTGTCTTATTTCAAGTTCTCTTCTCTAACTAGTTGAAGATCTTAGTTGAGGTACAGTGTAACATTGTTTTATTACAGCTGACCCAAGACATGCATTGCTCATATTCTCCAATACCCTTATGAAAAAGGACGGCTACAGGATTTTTTGCAGAATCCCTACATCAATCTTAACGGATCCAGATCACATATCAATCATTCTACCAAACTGGTTCAAAGTCAGAGCTGAAAACACGTTTCGGATTTTTAGCTTGCTTTGATTTTACACTAATATTTAGTTTTAAAATTTTGCTTTGAGTGACCTATATACCTTAATTATGTTTATTTTATTAAAACGTATCATTCAAACATTACATTTTGTCACCACTAATACAATAATAACACTACTGAAATTTAACCAAATGTTTCAGTAGTGACTGTTTTGGATCTAACTGCTCACCGTGTGGCCATGAGGGACAGGGATACAGTCCCACTTCCTGCTCTAAAAGGCAGGGGTGTGGCTAAAATAAGGCTAAAACTAAGACTACAACTCTTTAGCTGTGTCCAAAACTGCGGCCTATTCACTAAATAGTCTGCCAATTTGTGGTGGTGTCCGAAAACATAGTTTAGAAGATCCAGTACACTCAAACAGTCCCACAAAGCACCGCAAACAACTGAAGTATCCTTCGGGTATACCCATAATGCACTGCGCTGTTTGGTTTGTAGATTCACATGCAACTTCTCCGAGTAGGATAAGCAAGTTCAGCTACAATATATATTCACAAGTGTAAATTTAGGGTTAGGTTTTGGCCCTTCCAACCTCCCAATCGCAAGCATCTTATAAATGATGACTTTGTTTTTATATTTAGCATATTACTATCTCAATAAACGTCTTAGGTTGAAATAGATCATAACATAATATTCATTACATAATCTAAGGTCTGAATACTTCATTTTACTGTTGGACCACAGTTTGAACTTTATTTTACTGCAAAGGAGGATTCTTTTATTTTTTTATTATAAAAATGTAATTCTGCTGCGGAGCCACAACAGGGCAGTAAAAGAGCCGCATGTTGCCGACCCCTATGCTGTGCTGAACTCCTCTCTGAAGATCTATTTTTTTATGGCTAGATTTGAGTATTTTTCATGTATATGCAGTTACTTACATTCAGACTTCATCTAATATTTGTTTATATTAATTCATATAATACAATATGTTGGTTTATATAAGCACTTAAAAATAGGCAAAAATGACAACAGCCATGAGTACCCAAAAAAGAGTGATAAAATGTCTTTATTGTTCGGTTTGATCCCACGTTACATGAGGATTACGTCCATATGTTAAGGTACATGAGTGCGAGTGCAAAGTATTTAGCTCATGCTTACTCAAAGTGCTAAAGGAGGGAAGGTACTGAGCCTCAGTAAAGTGCGCTAGCTAGCTTAGCTTCATGCATGCAGCCAGAAAAAGACACCAAGTTCAGGTTTGAAGCTACATCACAACACGTCACTTCAATACAGACCAATGTAAAAACTCATATCTACGACAACAAGCAGAGAGGATTTATAGCTGCTGCAGGCTACATCACATTAACAACGTTAGCTACATGGCTGATTGGGATTCTAGGAGAGGGTCTCAGACTCAGACATTAAGCTGAAAGGACAGGAAGACTCTCCTACGCCTAGTATAAGGTGCTGATATCAATCCATATATGGAACACACAACAGTTTAGACGAGAAACCCCAAACTACAAAGCAAACATAAATACAACGGTACATATTAGTTATCATCGTCAGAGCAGTCATGAGTTAGATTTTTTTCCTCCGTCTACTTTTGCGATGCATTGTGATAATTAGCCAGGCTTTAACTATGGAGCTAAGGAGCGGATGGGTGACGTGGATTCGGCTATGGCTGGCTTGAGAGGTCGCAGCCCTGCACAACATTCATTTGTTCTTCTGGGCCTTCTGGGCAGACTTGGTGATCTTGCCTGAGGTGGGCGTCTTCTTCTCAACACCTTTAATGACACCCACGGCCACCGTCTGACGCATGTCGCGCACCGCGAAGCGCCCTTAGAGAAACAACATCATTTCAATAAATTCAATTTGTCCTTGGAAGAACCATAAAGTATACAATCTAAGAAGATCCCTTAAACTGGCACAGAAACTTTGCACTATGTGACAGTTTCGTAAAGGAACCCTAATTTACACAATTTTGCGCAGCCGAACATTATGTGCCCAATTTTTGCTCCTTTAGAGATGAAGCTATGACGCTAACATGGCTTACAAACACTAGAAGTCAGTAGTCACCCAAATCTTTAATGTAAATACAACCCAAAATTTCTCTCAAGCTCCTCAAACCATATCCAGGACACTTCATTAAGGTCTTGTAAATTTGTCGATGTGGTTTAGGACACAGCATAACTTTCTGTGAACATAGTAATGAACAAAACTTTACTGTGTAGCTGAACACTGCGATTTTACATAACAGATGTGGTGTTGAAATTCAACCGCCTGTCGTGTGCACACATAATGTAGGCATATGGAGCTACAGATTACGTCCACAATTTCTGATGTTTCTATTTATAATTTACTGTCAAACTTACATTTGTAAATGTGATCTGTCTGTATGCCTGTGTGTGCATGCAAATTGGTAGAGGAATTTGGCACAACACTGTTGTCTAAAAAAGGCTGCCCACAGCTTTCAGCTATGAAGTTTTGTTCATTTTTATGTTCACAGTAAGTCGTACTGTGTCCTAAACCACATCGACAAGTCTGCATGACCTTAATGAAGAGCTGGATGTGGTTCAAGCTATCTGAGAGGAGTTTTGACAATGTATTTACAGAAAAAGATTTGGGTGACTGCTGACTTCTAATGTTCATTAGCAACGTTAGCCTCTGGCGCTAAACAAATAAAGCAAAATTTGGCTGCGGAAAATTTAACACAAATTCTAATTTAAGGAGTCTTTCCAGAATCTATACATTGCAACGGAGCTTAGTGCTAAACTAAAGAAGCAAAATTTGGACACCAAACATGTTTTGGCTGATCAAAAACATCTGGGGTAAGTTTGCCAAAATTGTCTGAATTTGATTTTTAGCTGAACCATTTCTTTTTAAAAAGTTAAAGGTTATTCACACTTTTTCAAACATGGTTCTTCAGTGAACCATAAGTGTTTCTTCTGTGGCACTGCTCAAAGAACCCCTAAAAGCAGCTAGTTTTTAAGAATGTAAAGCAGATCCCAAGCTCGAAACTGTCCTTCATGTGTAAAAAGGCATTGACTAACATAACATTGTAAACAAAGCAGAAGTGATGTAGTGACTTCTAGTACATATTCTTAAAGTATAGGTATAAAATGAACCAGTTTAAAAAGTAACTAATAAATGAGCTAATTTTGACAGACAATCAATGTAAATAATTTCAGAATAAGAACAAAATCACTGGTAAACAGTCAAACAACCAAACCATGGTATTACAATCAGTGTCTTGTGGTTGCAGTTGTGGCTTACGAGAAAAAATAGTTGATAGAATTAGTGGATGACTGATGAAAATTACTCATTTCTACTTGTACATTCTTAAAAATAAAGGTTCCAAAAGGGTTCTTTGGAGCAATGCCATAGAAGAACCACTGCAGGTCTATACAGAACCTCTTTAAAGTCTTAAGAACCTCTACAATAATGTAAAGGGTCTATACTAGTAAAAGTTTTTCCTTGAACCGTACATCCAAGCCAGAAACTGTTCAGCAGCCTTAAGGAAGAGTGTAGGGAAGCAGTGAAAAAAGAGCTAATCTTCCAGAAAATGTAGTACTTACCAAGAGGAGGGTACTCAGAGAAGCTCTCCACACACATGGGCTTGCCTGGGATCATGTCCACAATGGCAGCATCACCAGACTTGAGCGATTTGGGGTTGTCCTCCAGCTTCTTACCCGAGCGACGGTCAATCTTCTCTTTTAGCTCGGCAAACTTGCAGGCGATGTGGGCCGTGTGGCAGTCAAGCACAGGAGCGTAGCCGGCACTGATCTGTCCAGGGTGGTTCAGGATGATGACCTGCATACAGATAAAACATATACAGAGAAGAAGAGAGAGTGAAATGGTTAACAAGGATGGTTCATTCAAATTATGGCTGCAGTATAAGAAAACGTCTTATTAAATTGGCCTAAAAAACTTGTTCTTTCTGTACTGTTTTCTTCTTATTATTCTAAGGTCAGAAATGCTGCAATGCTACCCCTCCTACAGCTTTTTTAGCTACAACCACAAAGCTTTGCAGGACCGTAGAACCTACACCTGAACAGCTTGCTTGTGCTTTTTTAACCTATTCGACATATGATGTTTATACAACATTCATTCAAACATGACACAAGTCATTTCACTTCTACCTCTACCTCTTATTCCAAACTCTCAAGCCAAATGTTTTTAGACACTCTTCTTATGTCACCATCATACAAGTATGCTAGCACCATCTTAGCAACCATCTGGGACACCTCAGCAACGGCCTAGCAACACCTTAGCAACCACCTAGGATAGCACAACAACAGCCTAGCACCATGTTAGCAAACACCTGGGATACCATAACAACGGCCCAAAAAACACATTAGCAACCATCTGGGATTCCATAGCAACAGCTTTGTTTAGCCAATTTAAATTTCAAATTTCTGTTTTTTGTTTTGTTTTTTAACGCCAAAATTGTGCTCTTTACTCTGTGTGAACATTTTCAGAAGAATGGACCTTCGTTCTCCTATACAGGTACAGTTTTCTCTTCTTATGATGGCAATGAACAGTTTCAATGTGGACATAAAACGCCATTTTCAATAAAGTTTTTGGATATTATGATTACAATAAGAGAAGCAATAAATTATTTAAATATTAAAATAGTGTCTCTGGATGAACAGCAGCTTTTTTTTGCTGTGTAATTAAATTCAAAATAAAATGTAAAGAGAAAATTAAAACAAATGAAATAGAAATCACTACTTAAATCAACTGCAAGCAGACTGTATTGCACTCTAAGGCTATTAGAGAA